CTCAGCTCACCGCAACCTCCGCCTCCTGGGTTCCAGGGATTCTCCTGCCTCAGCTTCCTGAGTACCTGGGATTACAGGCATGCGGCACCACACCTGGCTAATTTTGTATTTTTAGTAGAGACGGGGTTTTCCATGTTGGTCAGGCTGGTCTCAAACTTCCTACCTCAGGTGATCCGCCTGCCTCAGCCTCCCAAAGCTCTGGGATTACAGGCGTGAGCTGCCGCGCCCAGCCTGGATAGCTGAGATTACTGGAGCCTGCCGCCATACTCGACTAATTTTTTATATTTTTAGTAAAGATGGGGTTTCGCCATGTTGGTCTGGCTGGTCTCGAACTCCAGACCTCAGATGATCCACCTGCCTCAGCCTCCCAAAGTGCTGGGATCACAGGTGTGAGCCACCACACCCGGCCCATTCTTTCTTTATTCTGTATGCAAGTGTTTGTCAGATATGCGTCTTGCAAATATTTTCTCCCAGATCATAGCTTGTCTTGTCATCCTCTTACCAGGATCTTTCTTCGAGCAAACTTTTTCGTTTCGATGAGGTCCAGTTCATCAACTTTTCTTTTTCTGGTTTGTGTTTTTGCTGTCGAGTCTACGAGATCCCTGTCTTGGCCACGACCCTGAAGATTTTCTCCTATTTTTTCTCTCTAAATGTTTTCTGGTTTTATATTTTACATCTACGGTCCATGGTCCGCTTCGCATTGATATTTATATAAACCGTGGATTCTAGGTCAAAGCTCTTTTTCTTTCTTTCTTTCTTTTGTTGGCCTGTGGATACCTAATTTTTCCAATGCCATTTATTGAAAGGCTCTCTTTTCTCCATTGAATTTCTTTTATATCTGGCTCAAAAATCATTTGGGCGTGTTTGTACGGACGTGGTCACAGGCTCTCTGTTCCTTTCCTTGCTCCACCTGCGTGTCCTTCTGCCAATACCTCACAGTCTTGTATAACCAAATTTATATCATAAGTCTCAAAATAAAGTAGACTGATTTCTCTCAGTTTATCTGTTGTTTTTAAAAACTGCTTTTATTCTTGAGTCCTTTGCCTTTCTATCTAAATGTTAGAATAATCTCTATTTCTACAAAATAAGTCTTGCTAGCCTTCTCTCTCTCTCTCTTTTTTTTTTTTTTTTTTTCTTTGAGACGAAGTTTCGCTCGTTACCCAGGCTGGAGTGCAATGGCGCGATCTCGGCTCACCGCAACCTCCACCTCCTGGGTTCAGGCAATTCTCCTGACTCAGCCTCCTGTGTAGCTGGGATTACAGGCACGCGCCACCATGCCCAGCTAATTTTGTGTATTTTTAGTAGAGACGAGGTTTCACCATATTGATCAGGATGGTCTCGATCTCTTGACCTTGTGATCCACCCACCTCGGCCTCCCAAAGTGCTGGGATTACAGGCTTGAGCCACCGCGCCCGGCCCTTGTTGTTCCCGGTCTGCATTTGGTATCAGGGTAATACTAACTTCATAAAATGAATGGGGGCCAGGCGCGGTGGCTCACGCCTGTAATCCTCGTGCTTTGGGAGGTCAAGGTGGGCAGATCACTTGAGGCCAGGAGTTCAAGACCAGCCTGGCTAACATAGTGAAGCCCCGTCTCTACTAAAAATACAAAAATTAGCCAGGCTTGGTGGTGGGCACCTGTAATCCCAGCTACCCAGGAGGCTGAGGCAGGCGAATCGCTTGAACCCAGGAGGCAGAGGCTGCGGTGAGCTGGGATCGCACCACTGCAGTCCAGTTCAGAGTGAGACTCCATCTCAAAAAAAAAAAAAGAAAGAATAGTAGTGTTCCCTCCTTTTCTGTTTTCTTGAAGGTATGGTTCAGAATCATGTTGACTTTTTAAACATTTGGTAGAATTCTCTATTAAATGTTTAGAACCATCTTGGCATGGACATTTCATTTGGGAAAGTTTTAAAATCACAAATTGACTTTTGCTAATAGTTTCAGGTTGTTGAAATGACCTGCTTCCTATTGAATGAGTCATAGTGCTTCATGCCTCTCTAGGAATTGGTCCATTTGATTGAAGACGTCAACGTGCTCTGTGAGCAGAACACATTGTGCATCTGTAGTGTTCCCTTATTGTCCTTTTGACGGCTGCAGGGTCTGTAGCGACGCTGCCTCTTCATTGCTGATACTGACAATCTGTGTCTTCTCTCTCCTGGTTTTTTTGTCAGCCTTGCTAGAAATTTATTACTTTAAAATAATAGCTGTTTTGTTGATTTTCTGCCTTGTTTCTCTGTTTTCTGTTGCTGGGGTTTCTGTTCCCTGTCTTCGTGATTTCCCACCTGTGCTCTCGTGGGCTTACGTTGCTCTTCTGGTCCTGGGTTCCCACGGTGGGATCTTGGCTTACTGAGTTGAGACTTTTTCTCTGTTCTCATGGAAGCACACAGTGCTATAGACTTCCTTCTCAGCGTTGCTTTAGTTGTGTCTCACAGCTAAATTTTGTGTGGCATTTTCATTTCCATTGAGTTTTTAATGTCTTTTTAATTTTCCCTTGAGACTTCCTCTTTGACCCTTAAGTTACTTAGAAGTAAGTTGTTAAGTTTCCAAGTGTTTGGAGATTTCCTACTGTATTTCTGTTACGGACTTCTGGTTTCTCTTATGGTCAGAGAACATGCTCTCATGGCTTCAGTTCTTTTGGAGCTGGTGAGGTTTCCTCTATGGCCCACTCTGCAGGCACCGGAGGAATGCAGCATTCTGCTGCTGTTGAGTGACGTGGTCTCTAAATATTTATCATTTGGTGGACTCCTAAATGTACCTCAAGACTCTGAGATCACTCACGCTCAAAGGTTATACGATACCCTACCGTTTCCAGCGAATTCCTAAGTGAGCTGAACCCCTGCTGAGTTCCCCCACTGGCCTGTACAACCCCGTGGGGATTCTTGTTGATGGGATATACTTTCCCTTCCCAGTGAGTGAGGGCCTTTCTGAAGGCGACGGCCTCGGGCCCACACCAGTTCAACCTACGGCTGTACGAAAACTTTCTGGCTGACGTTTTTATGCTTGTAGTTTCAAGAGATATAACAAAATGTCATTTTTCTTCTCATTATTACGTCAGACAGTGCTAAAGTCAGAGGGAACCTAGGCTCCCTCTCATCTGACAGGTGAAGCAACGAGGTGTTGCAAAGCTTATTTAAACTGACTCGTTTTTCAAAAACGTTTTAAATGATATTAATGTATCTTAATTATAGAAAATGTATAAGAAAAGGGGGGAATGCATAAGAAATAGGGAAGCAAGAATTTTAAAATAAAAGCCGCTGAAGATGACGACAACACTCCTTTGGCGGACACTCTCCCGTATGTTTTCAGAGTCAGGTTCACTCTGATTTACTGTTTTAAAATCTTTTTTTCTTGTACGTTAACAACAGACATGAACTTTTTTCAGAATATTATTTCTAATAGCAGAACATGATCGCAGATGTGTGTCTGATGACACAGTTGTCTCATGGTTCATTTAACGAATCGCCATCGGGTGGGCAGGCAGTTTGTTCCGTTTCCCCTGTGTTAAATAACACTGTGATGAACAGCTTTCGTGTAGATGTGATCATTTCCTAGAAATGGGACCTGGGTCAGTGCTTGTGAACTTTTTTTTTTTTTTTTTTTTTTTGAGATGAAGTCTCGCTTTTTTTGAGATGGACTCTTGCAACCTCTGCCTCCCGGGTTCAAGCAATTCTCCTGCCTCAGCCTCCCCAGGAGCTGGGATTACAGGCACCTGCCACCATGCCCAGCTAATTTTTGTATTTTTAGTGGAGTCGGGGTTTCGCCATGTTGGCCAGGCTGGTCTCAAACTCCTGACCTCAGGTGATCCGCCCGCCTCAGCCTCCCCAAGTGCTGGGATTGCAGGCGTGAGCCACCGTGCCCGGCCTCTGGTGAACAGTTTCAGCTTTTGAGCTCCATTGCCAAGTCAGATTCTTGTTTGGCAGCTTTGGTTTTATTTGTTTTGGTTATAATGGAGGATCAGACATCAAGTCAGCGTAGCAGATTACGCAAACTTGGCCAGGTACAGTGGCTCATGCCTGTAATCCCTGCACTTTGGGAGGCCGAGGTGGGCAGATCACGAGGTCAGGAGTGGAGACCATCCTGGCCAACGTGGTGAAACCCTGAATCTCCTAAAAATACAAAAATCAGCTGGGCGTGGTGGCAGGCACCTGTGGTCTTAGCTACTTGGGAGGCTGAGACAGGGGAATCACTTGAACCCGGGAGGCAGAGGTTACGGTGAGCCAAGATCACACCACTGCATTCCAGCCTGGTGACAGAGCAAGACTCTATCTCAAAAAAAAAAAAAAAAAAAAAAAAATTACTCAGACTTACAACTAAGCCTCGTGGTGTAGGTTCTCGGTGTTCTGGGGCATGACTGGAACCTAGCAGAGACCTCACCCTTCCTCAGCATGTCGCCGTGCTGAAAGGGACGGCGCTGTGGGCATCTACAGCTTCCTAGGCGGTATCTGGCATTGGGCCTGGTCAGGAAACAGGAAAGCAGGCAGGTTCCATCTCGCCGGGGACCTGGACCTTGTAAAACCAGTCACACAGCCCAGTTTTACAGGCCAGGCAACCGAGGGGGAAGAAACTCCTTCCACCCGGGCCTGCTTCCTCTCTGCAGACCCGCCGTGAGAACACCATGTTCTGTGTTGAGACGTGCCTTGAACTCACATTGTCACAGTAATTGCCCCCATAAAATAGACCTGGGCACTAAGAGGAAGCTTCCTGGGTCTAGAAACCCAGTCCTGCCTGCCTTTTATAGCTGGTACGAGGACAGGAGAACCACAAGCCCCGCCAGTCAGCTGAGAGGCCACTGAGGCACAGACGGGCTGTGGGCCTGGAGCCGCACTGGCGGGAAGGAGCACTTGAAAGAGCCCAGGTCCAGAGAAGCCCGGGGCTGCTGCCAGCTAACAAGCAGCTCCTCCGCCGTGGCCTCTGCGTCCCATCACGTGGAATTCAGACTGCCGTAGCCTATGTGTCTTTTCCTCTTGTCCGTGTTCCATCTGTCTTTTTTCTTTGGTTTCTAGAGAGAGAAGAATTAATCCAGAGCATGCTGGCACAGGTCACAGAGCAGTTCTCAAGGTACAGAGTCTTCTGAACTCACAACCGGCCGGAGATGCGCACTTCTTTCTCTAACAGCGAGGGCGGGCCCCGGGCACTGAGGCTGGCCTTGGCTGCCAGGCGCGGCTGTCTCTCCTGCCTGGGGGAGCCTCCTGCGCGGCTTCTGTAACTGAACCAGCTTGGGTGGGGCCCAGGAAACGCTCACCTTATACCAAAGATGGTGTAGAGTGGGTGCATTAGAATGTGAGTTCATGCGGTGGAGAACGTCCTCCACTGGCTCTTCCCGGGTTGGAGAACCATCTCTAAGGCTTGGCTCCGTTTTAAAATAAGCTTTCTCGCTGAGCTTCTGTGTAGTTAGGGGACTTCCTTTTCATCTGAGTCATTCCACCAATCCTGATGTAGATACCCCTTTTTCAAGACTGACTTTTTTGTGGCGTCTTACTGCCTAGGTTAATTAAAATGGTGAAAAGGGCAGATGGGTACGATTTTTAAAAACCTTCAAATTGGCCGGGCACGGTGGCTCACGCCTGTAATCCCAGCACTTTGGGAGGCTGAGATGGGCAGATCACCTGAGGTCGGGAGTTTGAGACTAGCCATGACCAACAAGGAGAAACCCCGTCTCTACTAAAAATACAATATTAACTGGGCACGGTGGCACATGCCTGTAGTCCCAGGTACTCAGGAGGCTGAGGCAGGAGAATCACTTGAACCTGAGAGGCGGAGGTTGCGGTGAGCCAAGATCGCACCATTGCACTCCAGCCTGGGCAACAAGAGTGAAACTCCGTCTCAAAAAAAAAAAAAAATCAAATTGTTTAACTGACTGGGCTGGAGCCTCCAGAGAACACAACACATCCTCCGAAGGTGTCTGTGCCATCCGGGGAGGGTGCCCGCACTGGACCGTCTCAACCGCATGAGCAAAGAGGACCACGTGTCCTCCCCAGAAAGCCTGGGTCCCCTGCTCAGGTCTGTGGAAGTCAATGTGCCCACCAGCTTGGCAAATACACCTCCTGATTCCTCCCCATGGGTTATATTTCTTCTCTCTTTTCTTTTTCATTCCTAGAGCGTTCAAAATCAATGAACTGAAAGCTGACGTCGCAAATCACTTGGCTGTGCTAGAGAAACGCGTGGAATGTGAGTGAGGTTTTTGTTTCCTTTTTGCTTCTGTCCTTTCACCTCTATTAAAATCAAACACTTGGAACAGGGAGGAGTTCAGTGCTGGAGGTAAATGCGAATGTCTTTTCTCTGAAATGCTTGGAAATTACCTTTGACGTTAACAGAGGCTAGCACAGTGACTACGCATTTTATTTCTATTTTAAAAGAAACGCAGCTCATGGTATAAAGCATTCTTTCAGCCCCAAAGAGTAAAAATGAATGCACGAAACCCCCCCTCCCCCCACGCTTAGCCCCTCTGAGAACCTCTGCTGAGTATCTTGTCTGTCTCTCTTTTTTTTTTTTTTTTTTTTTTTTTGAGAGAAGAGTTTCACTCTTGTTGCCCAGGCTGGAGTGCAATGCAGGATCTCGGCTCACCGCAACCTCCTTCTCCCAGGTTCAAGCAATTCTCCTTGCCTCAGCCTCCCGAGTAGCTGGGATTACAGGTGTGCACCACCACACCCACCTAATTTTGTATTTTTTAAGTAGAGACGGGGTTTCTCCATGTTGGTCAGGCTGGCCTTGTACTCCCGACCTCAGGTGATCCGCCTGCCTCTGTCTCCCAAAGTGCTGGGATAACAGGCGTGAGCCACGTGCCTGGCCTTGTCTGTGTCTCTTTTTGCGAAGATGAAGACATTCTTTGCACACTGAGCTGCACCCTGTGGGTCACAGTTTTGGAATTTTCTACTAAGTTGTTATATCTGGTTTCTGATACAGTCTGGATGTGCGTCCCCTCCAAATCTCATGTTGAAATGTCATTCGCAGTGTTGGGGGTGGAACCAGGTGGGAGGGTTTGGGTCAGCAGGGCAGATCCTCCTGAATGGCGCGGTGCTGTCCTCGAGGCACTGAGTTCTCGCAAGATCCGTTTGTTTAAAAGCGTGTGGCACCTCTCTACCCTCCTGCTTCCCTGTCGCCTTCCACCGTGATTGGACACTTCTGGAGGCTCCCCCAGAAGCCGAGCAGATGCGAGCACCAGGCTTCCCGTAGAGCCCACAGAACCGGGAGCCCATCGAACCTCTTTTCTTTATAAATTGCCCAGCCTCGGGGCTCTCTTAACAGCAGCAGAAGAGCAGCCTAACACAGCCTCCCATCAGCACCAAAGAAAACCAGAAGAAGGACTAGGGAGCCACGGAGTGTCGGTTCAAGTCCTGATTCAATGACTGAAAAGCTCAAATCCTGGGAAGAAAACAACTTCAAGTCACCCATCCCTTTTGTCGTCGTCCATAATATCAGGATCAACGCTTGAATTCTACAGGCCTCACAAGTCTGTGTTTAACTCACTGCGACAAGTGAACTCTTTGTTAACCACAGGAAATGTTAATGATTAACAGGCACCGTGTTTACCAACTGAGGGACTAAATAAACAGGCACCGTATTTACCAACCGAGGGACTAAATAAACAGGCACCGTATTTACCAACTGAGGGACTAAAGAAACAATCCAGACAGGAGGCCATCCATCGAGGGTTGCAGAGTCACCAAAAAACATCTGCCTGATTGACTCAATGTTGCTTTTTCTGTTTCCCTCCCTCCCTCCCTCGTTCCCTCCCTCCCTCCCTCCTTCCCTCCCTCCTTTCCTTGCTCCCTGACAGAGTCTTGCTTTGTTGCCCAGGCTGGAGGGCAATAGTGCAATCTTGGCTCACTACAACCTCTGCCTCCTGGATTCAAGTGATTCTCCCACCTCAGCCTCCCAAGTAGCTGGGATTACAGGCACCCACCACCACGTCCAGCTAATTTTGTATTTTTTAGTACAGATGGTTTCACTATATGTGGGTTAGCCTGGTCTCGAACTCCTGACCACAGGTGATCCACCCACCTCAGTCTCCTAAAATGCTAGATTACAGGCATGAGCCACCACACCCAACTAAATGTGGCTTTTCCTATTTTGCTTGTGTTGCTTGTAAATGTTCAAGAAAAGCCATCAGGATCATGTAAAAACGGACTCATCTAAATTAGCAGAAACATGATTTGCACAGTCAGATTTACACTTTTCCAAGTGTGTTGACGTTTTTTAAAAAGCGTGTGGTCACCGGATCTTCACCATGGTTTCATTTTCCCCGTTGTCGACGGGGCAGCCACAGAGGGGTTAAGTAACCTCAAGTTCACTCAGCAAATTAGAAAACAAAACTGGGACTGGCACCCAGGGTCCTGGCTGGGCCGCTCTGGCTGCCTGCTACTCGCCCATCCGGGATGAGTTACCTTCCTGCACACCTGCCGAAGAGGACCAGGCACTCCGTGAGGGTTCCTTAATAACACAGGTTACAAAGCAGCAGCTGCACGCAACAGGAACTGATCGCGGCTGCTTTCAGCGGGAAAGGACATTTTTCCTAAAGGATTTTGGGAAGCTCCCGGGATCCCCAGGAGGGCTTGGAGCTGTGCAGCAACAATTGCCCAAATCCCGTGCAGAGCTCAGCTGTGCAGATGCCGGTGCTGCCGTCTCTGAATCCCAGATGCACACCAGCTCCCCTGCACTCCTCACTCTGGACCTAGGCCCCCTCCTCGAGGCTCCATAGCCACCTATGCAGGCATCAGGCTGCTCCTCCATGTCACTGGCTACAGGTTAAAAATCTAGACAGAGGGCCGGGCGTGGTGGCTCACGCCTGTAATCCAAGCACTTTGGAGGCCAAGGCTGGTGGATCACCTGTGATGGGGAGTCCAAGATCAGCCTGACCAACATGGGGAAACCCCGTCTTTAAAAAAAAAAAATCTAGACAGAGCCAGACCATGCGCCAACGGTCTAGCTACAAGGCAGGCCCGACCAAGGGAGGCTGTGAGTGTCCTGAGGCTGCTGCACAAAGCCCCACAGACCGGGAACCTTAAGCAACAAAAACGGGTTCTCTCGCAGCTCTGCAGGCCAGAAGTCTGAAATCAAGGCGTGAACAAGCAGGCCTGGCTCCTTCTGGAGGCTGTGAGGGGCGCTGGTTCCATGTCTCTCTCTCAGACCCACGTGGCTGCCAGCAATCTTTGCCACTCCTGAGCTCCGTACACTGCATCGCTCTAATCTCTGCCTGTGTCGTCACGTGATGGCATTCTCCCGTGTCTCCGTGTCACCAAGCTCTCTCTGCCAGGTCTTATAAAGATGCCTCTCTTTGAATTTTGAGACCACCTAAATCTAGGGTGGGCCCATCTCAAGATCCCTGAAGGATTATATCTGTGCAGACCTTTTTCTAAGTCAGGGCCCATTCATTCACAAGTCCAGGGAGTAGGCTGTGACCAGATCTTTCTAGGGGGACACAATTCAACCCACCGCAGCAAGCATCTGCCCTTCCATCGTCTGCACTGGGAGGCTGGCTCAGCTCTCCACCAAGCCCATGTCACAGGGGATTCTCCAGACTTGGGTAGGGTTTGAGCCAAAGAGGGCAAAAAAGCCTTAGTGCGGAGTCGTCACCCACCTTTACAGATGCAGAAAGCTGCACAGTCACCACAGGCCAGCATGCAGATGCCCGAGGGCAGCAGGTGCCTCTCCCCTTTCCTTTTCTCTCCAGCGCCTGGGCTTTTCCTCAGCGTTCCCCCCAATCTCCTGTGCCCCGCCCAGAAGCTAGTGCCAGCTCCCACCATGCGCTTTTCCCGGAAAGTGCAAACAGGCAAGTTGAAAGGCCCATGCGGTAACTCTTAAAACTCTTAAAGAGAATGATGCTGCCTCCCAACATGATATTTAGTAACCTTGCGTGGCTTCGAGTAACTGCCCCTGCAGAATAACCACCAACCCAAAAGAAAACTGTTCCTATTTTGCCTCCAAGTGGCAGGTGACTGAAGGCCCAGAGGAGCTTCCCCTCTAGCCTGTTCTAGCTGCAAAATTCTCCAAAATTGCTAACGTCTCAGAAGGAAGGCATCTTCCCACAGGGCCCTCAGTAAATGCACACAGACAGCCTAGAAGAGGACCCCACTCTTCACCCCCCGCGCTCAGGCTCACTGCACAGACCAGAATTACTGGTGCTTCTGCAGGTAAACGCAGGCGTTACTAGTCGTACTGATTTCTAGCACCGGAGGCCTAGGACTGCAGACATGGGATTGAAGCTCACCTCTCCAAGGAGTAGGGAAGGAGAACAGTCTAGGGGTTGTGCAGGACAGGGAAGGGCCTGGGCAAGGTTGGGGGAGCCTCGCTGCAGTCCCCCTGACTGGCCTCCTCGCCCCACGTGCAGCTCATACCCCGACTCCAGGGGGCAGCTGTGCCAGGCTTTGGGTTCATCCTCCCGGGCACTTCTGGCTGACAGCCCCCCACTCTCCAGCAGGTCTGCTTTAGCAGGAGGTGGCCAGGACACTGCACGTGTGCTGAACGCAGGGAGTTTGAGTTCCAGAGAGATTTCGAGGGCAGCAGAACCTTCACCCAAAGATGCGCATACCCCGACATTCGAGGAAGCTTGGAGGGCGGAAAGGGAAAGTCCTTTTGAGGAGAGGGCCTGCACGTGAGCCTCTCACACAGGCCACTGGGGAAGCACATGGCCAGCTTCTCAGAAGGTCAGTCCCAACCCTGCATGGCTGCCAGAAGCTAGCCAGATGGGGAAGGCGGCCAGGAGCAGGGCCAGGGCTAGAGGCAGATGCTCCCATCTACATATGTACGTGCACGTGTAATCACACAGAGAAAGGTGCACATGTACTCACATATACACATGTGAAATCACACAGACATGTCAGGCTGTCACTGCACACATGTGCAAACACCCAGGCACATGCAGATACATTCATACATATGATCACATACACACACATGCACACAGCTTCTGCTATACATGAGCTGCTGTGAGCTGTTTTTGTTTGTTTGTTTATTTTTTGAGAAGGAGTTTCACTCTTTCACCCAGGCTGAGTGAAGTGGCGCTATTTTGGCTCACTATACCCTCCACCCCAGGGTTCAAGCAATTCTCCTGCCTCAGGCTCCTGAGTAGCTGAGATTATAGGTGCCCGCCACCATAAAAATACTAATTTTTGTATTTTTAGCAGAGACGGGGTTTTGCCATGTTGGCCAGGCTGGTCTTGAACTCCTGACCTCAAGAGATCTACCCACCTCAGCCTCCCAAAGTGTTAGGATTATAGGCAGGAGCCACCATGCCTGGCCAAACTGTTTTCTGCTTCTTGAGTTAGGGGACTCATCCACTAGAACTGGCCACCTTAAAGCCATATTGCGTTGTGGCGGACTTGTCTCAAATGGCATTTCCCGCTTCTTCTTAAATGTATAATTCCTCTGAATCGAATATAAATGTCTTCATTTCTCTTCATTGACTTTCAAAGCTCTTCTTCCTTTTGATATAAAAAATTTAGCCTTGTTCCAGCAATCTGGGATTTCCCTTAGGTTAAAACTATTTCGTAAACAGAACACCCAGGCCCCTCCCTTCACGTCCTGACTGGAGGTGAACCATTAAAAAGAGATTTTAAAGCCAGGCCCTTTACTCCCTTCCTTCCTGGTTTGTGGCCAGGACACAGGGCAGCTCTGCTCCATCCACCCTTTGTCCCAGAGCTCTGGGCTTGGAGCAGAACCTAAGCTGGGCCAGGACAGGAGCTGACAGCCTGGGACAAAGTTTAACCCGGAGGGAAGGATGGGGGCATCCAAACAGCCCGGAAGCCTGGATGCTAGAAGCAAGCCTTGCTGTTCACTGTCACTCAGGAAGTGTGCGCTCCACGGGCTCTTTAGGGAGGAAGTGTTGAAACACAGCTCTATTCATACATGTCTTTAAACAACTTTCACTAGCTCTGCAGCCAAAGGGCCTGCCAGATTCTCGGCCTCTTGCCCAGCGCTTTGAGGCTGGGGAAGGAGCACAGCACAGGACCTGCTGAGCGTGGCCCAGCTCTCCCAACCCACCAGCCCGCTTCCCCCAAAGCCGGCATCTCTCAGAAAATCCCTCTTAGAGCTTTTCCTGCAGGTGGCCTGGGACTTGTGTAAGCTCACAAAAATCTCTTTTAAAGTCTTTTTTTTTTTTTTTTTTTTTTTTTTTCTGAGACGGAGTCTCGCTCTGTCAACGAGGCTGGAGGGCAGTGACGTGATCTCAGCTCACTGCAATCTCCGCCTACCAGGTTCAAGTGATTCTCCTGCCTCAGCCCCCCCGTAGCTGAGATTACGGCAGCCTGCAAACATGCCTAGCTAATTTTTGTATTTTTAGTAGAGACGGGGTTTTGTCATGTTGGTTGGACAAGCTGGTCTCAAACTCCTGACCTTAGGTGATCCACCCTCCTTGGCCTCCCAAAGTGCTGGGGTTACAGGCGTGGGCCACCATGCCTGGCTTAAAGCCCTTTTAAGAGGACAGGCCAGGGTTTCCAGATGATCCTGGCCCCCACACCAGCATATCCTAGGGTCCGCACCTGGTCAGCGGGAATAACGGGCAGTTGTGGGCTGGACTGCCAGCCCCCAGCAGGGCGGAGTGGGCCAAGGAGCCTCTGCTTCGGTTTGGGGTGTGTGGTCAGTGTCTGCCTACCTTCAGCTTTTGAAGGCAGAGGAGGGGGTCAGGATGGGCAGAGCTGACGTCCAGGCTCCCTGATCCTGCTGCTGTCTGTGTAGACCTCTCAACTCAAGGCCCCACACCCCTCAGGACCCGCCTGCTCCTCCCTCTGGGTTGAGGTGGAGCAGGGGTGGGAATGGGTCAATGAGGGGAGCTGTGGAATCTTCCCCACAGCAGCCTGGCATCCTAGAAAGGCCAGGGAGTGAGGAGGCAGGACCCCCAGGGACACAGGCACCCACATCCGCCGCATGCTCACCTCTGCCTCCTCCCGCAGACCTCCAACCCAGCCCCGCCATTCACGGCATCTTGTTTTCTCTGCGTTGAGGAAGGCACAGCTTTTGCCATCTTGTTACCCACTATCCATTTACTTGCCAACAGCCTTTTCAGAAACTTAACTGCCACAAATTCTGCATCTCTGGGATTCCTGCTAGGGATGCTGTGCTGCGTCACCCGAGAGGTGTGATTTTAATACCATCCCAATAGTAGCCAGGGAGGCAGATCTCAGTGGGCTGCACTGTCAATCAAACCATGCTCACATCACAAACCATGAGCCAGCTTAAAACGGAGCCTTGTGTGCACATGGGGCGGAGTATAGATCTGTTGCAAACTCATTTAGCAGCAAAAATGTGATCTGAACTGACATGAAGTCCTTGGTATTTATTTATCCTGCTCAGTATGATAAGTAAACATTTTCTTCAAGGGAGAAAAAGAAAAATGTGAGCTGGGATGCCAGCCATTGATATAGGGAAGGCCCGTAACCTCCTGATGAGTGAAATGGGCCAGTTAGAAAATACACCGAATTTTATTTTTTAAAATTAATAATAGATATATAGATACATAGACACAGAAAGCATGGATAGATGATAGATAGATAGATACATACATACACAAATAGATACATAGATACGATGGATAAATAGAAAGATAGGTAGAGGCTGGATGAGGGCTCATACCTGTAATCCCAACCCTGTGGGAGACTAAGGCAGGAGGATCACTTTAGTCCGGGAGTTCAAGACCATCCTGGGCGACATGGTGAAACCTCATCTCTACAAAAAATACGAAAATCAGCCAGGTGTGGTGGTGTACCCTTTTAGTTCCTGCTACTCAGGAGGCTGAAGTGGGAGGATCATTTGAGCCTGGGAGGTGAAGGTTGCAGTGACCTGTGATTGTTCCACTGCACTGCAGCCTGAGTGACAGAGCAAGACTGTGTCTCAAAAAGAAAAAAAAAAACGAAAGAAAGAAATGAGGATAGGCGCATCTCTCCAGCCCGCTCGAACGCTCCCCACAGCCACTGCCACCCACTGGAATGGCCAACAGGGGACCTGCATATGGCCTGAGCCGGGAGGTGCAGCAGAACATTGAAAAGCAACACGACGCAGACCTGGAGCAGATCCTGATCCAGTGGATCACCACCCAGTGCCCAAAGGATGTGGGCCGGCCCCAGCCTGGGTGGGAGAACTTCCAGAACTGGCTCAAGGATGGCACGGTGCTATGTGAGCTCATTAATGCACTGCACCCGAGGGGCAGGCCCCTGTAAAGAAGATCCAGGCCTCCACCATGGCCTTCAAGCAGACGGAGCAGAGGTCTCAGTTCCTGCAGGCAGCTGAGGGCTGTGGCATTAGCACCGCCGACATCTTCCAAACCGTGGACCTCTGGGAAGGAAAGAACATGGCCTGTGTGCAGCAGACACTGATGAATCTGGGTGGCTGGCGGTAGCCCAGGATGATGGGCTCTTCTCTGGGGATCCCAATTGGTTCCCTAAGAAATCCAAGGAGAATCCTCGGAACTTCTCGGACAACCAGCTGCAAGAGGGCAGGAACGTGATCAGGTTACAGATGGGCACCAACCGCATGACAGGCTACAGGATGCCAGGCCAGATCCTCTGACCTCACCCCAGGCCTTGCCCCTGCCCTCCCATGAATGGTTAATATATATGTAGATATATATTTTAGCAGTGACATTCCCAGAGAGCCCCAGAGCTCTCGAGCTCCCTTCCGTTAGGGAGGGAGTTCAGCCTCTCCTGTCACCTCTGGGGTGCCTGTTGGCAGCCCCTCCCCCCAGCTAATACATTCCCTACCCCATACCCATCAAAACTGGACCAACTGGGCTCTTCTTTTCCCCTGGGACCAAAATGAAGGGGCCTCAGCACCCCCACCACTATGCCTCTCCTTCCTCCTGGCCTGCTCTGTCCCTGAGCTCTGTGCCCTCCATCCATCCATGGCTGGGCATCAGTGATGCTGCCTCTGCTTTCTGATGCTGGACTTGCCTTGCTTCTACAAGCTGCTTCTCCCACAGCTGTGGCTGAGGGAACTTAATTTATAGGGAGGAGCCTGTGGCAGCTGCTGCCCCAGCCACAGCTGCACTGACTGTGCTCACCACACATCTGGGGCAGCCTTCCCTGGCAGAGGCCCTCACGGCTTCTCATTTTCCATTCCCCTCACTGTGGCTAAGGGGTGGGGTGAGGGGATGGAGAGGGAGGGCTGTCTACCATGCTCTGGGGCTTTAGGAAGATGAGTTTGTTGATTTAAATAAAGAATTTGTCTTTTTTAAATGAGAGAAAAAAAGAAATGAAAATAGGTAGATAAATAGAATGGATGGACACAGAGCATGAATAGAACAATAAATAGGATGGATAAATAGAACATAGGTAGACACATACATAGGATGAATGGATAGATGGGTGGGTGGGTGGATGGATAGAAAGATGGATACATGGATGGAGAGACAGATGCACAGATGGATGAATGGATAGGTAGAAGACAGTAGATAGATAAAAGAATGGATAGAAGGTAAATGACTGGATAGATAGACAGATGAATGGATGGACAGACAGTGAGTGAGTGAGTGGTAAATAGGTAGTACAGAGGTAGACAGATAGGCAGGTAGACAGGATGAATATTTAGAAGGCACGGGAGAGGGCAGAAGGCCTGGAAGGACACACATTAACACCTTTCCTACAAGGATCATAGGATATTTTTATATTCAGGAAAATGACATTTAAGACATAGTAAGTGGACCAGGACCTTGGACAGAGGGCGCAGCTGCCCTGTGAGCAGTCCACACCACCTGCCCAACTCTCCCCAGATCTACTCACTTTCAACACGTGCCACCTTCCACGTGTGAACCACACGGAGCTCCTTTCCTGCCACTGATGTTGAACTGGCTATTTGCCCACCTTAGCGTCCAAATGGCAAACCCACAGGACGTGGATGGGATCCTGAAGTGTAGACAAGGCCCAGGCGTACCCTTGGAGGCCACGTTGGGCCTCCCAGTCCACATGCAAACCCAGAATGGGCTCTTGGGTGCCTTTTCTCAGAAGACATCCTGCGGCATCCATCAGCTTCCTTGGGGTGATGCTTGAGAGAACGGAGACCCCGCTCCAAAGGAGATTGTGGACTCCTAGTGGTTGGACCCAAACGTCCCGACCTCAGGAACCCTGTGCTTCCCCAGCAGCAGCTCATCCGGACGCCGCCATCAGGACAGCGACCACACCAGCTCCAGCCACATGCACTTCATGACCCACATCCTCTTGCTGTTGGGTAGAAGAGCAGAGAAAGCTTCCATGGCACAGAAGCACATCAGCACGACCAGATCCAAACATCTCACCCTCCGGATTCCCTGCCCCTCTGGGCAGAAAGAAGCAGTGTCCCAAGAAGCCATGCCCCTCCTTGATCCCTGACCCTGGAAATGCCCCAACACGCACCCAGGAGGCTGATTCCAGCCAGGCTGCCCTGGGCACTGCCCTAGGAGAATTTCTTTCTGGAGCCACAGTACTTCCTTGGGGTGGGAAGGAATTGTTACAAACTAGCCAGAGGCTCTGAGTTGATTGGCTTTTCCTTTAGAAATCATTGGCTTTTTATCTTCAGCAGTTATTCAAAGAGCCAGACTTCATGAAAAGGGGAATGGAGTGCTATCGTGGGAGTATCCTTTTGCATAAAAATTGAGGTGTGATTACAAAGTAACAAAGCTACTCTTTTTTATTTCTTAGTACTCTAATTGAAAAGCCTCACAAAGCTGCTTGCTTCACAGAGCATTTCTGAGCTAAGCATGGAATCAGCCAAGGGTGAATATCTTGAAGTTTAACATTCTCTTGGAGGCAGAAGCTCCAGTTTGGTTGAAAAATAGTACCCTAGGCTGGGCGCGGTGGCTCACGCCTGTAATCCCAGCACTTTGGGAGGCCGAGGCGGGTGGATCACGAGGTCAACAGATCGAGACCATCCTGGTCAACATGGTGAAACCCCGTCTCTACTAAAAATACAAAAAATTAGCTGGGCATGGTGGTGCGCGCCTGTAATCCCAGCTACTCAGGAGGCTGAGGCAGGAGAATTGCCTGAACCCAGGAGGCGGAGGTTGCGGTGAGCCGAGATCGCGCCATTGCACTCCAGCCTGGGTAACAAGAGCGAAACTCCCTGTCTCGAAAAAAAAAAAGAAAAAAAAAAAAAATAGTATCCTAACTGTTGAGGCACACCTTTGCAGTGGGACTCTGTAACCGCCCCAGGGGTTCACCTTGCCTGCTGTGTAGACAGAGCAGATTCATCAGACTCGGAAACTGCGATAAAGAGTCATTCACCCAGAGCGAGCTGCGTGGGAGAGCAGAGTTTTAGTCCTCAAATCGGTCTCCACAGGCATTCAGGGAGCAGTTTTTAAGGATAACTTGGTGCGAGGGGGGAAGCCAGTGAGCCAGGAGTGCTGATTGGTCAGGGATTAAATCGTAGGGAGTTGAAGCTGTCTTCTTGCACTGAGTCAGTTCCAGAGTGGGGGCGACAAGATCAGAAGAGTCCGTTTATGGATGTGGGTGGGGCCAGCTGATAAGTGCAAAATGTCTCAAGCCCTGATCTTAGGAGCGTTTAGGGAGGGTCAGCATCTTGTAGCCTCCAGCTGCATGACTCCGAAACCATCACTTCTAATCCTTTGGCTAATGTTAGTCTCGTCCCCAGGCTGCTTTGGGAAAGGGCTGTTACCATCTTTGTTTAAACTAAGTTTCTCCCAGAGGAAGGATCAAAGACAGCTGGAGGTTAGAAGCAAGATGGAATCGGTTAAGTTAGAGCCGTTTCTCTGCCTCGGTCATACTTTCGCAAAGGCGGTTTCCACGCCAGGAATGTGACAGCGCCCAAGTTCTGCTGATCCTCAGCCTTGCCTGTTTCTCTCCTGTTTCAAGTCAGCAGCTTCTCCTGGTGAACTGCTCTGGAACAACGTCACAATGAAAAGCTTTCCCCTAATGAGACCGTAATCCTCGCTGAGAAGCTTTGCCTCCCTGCATGTTAATGCTCTGGCGCCACCTCTTCCCCCTTTTCTTTTTGGGATAAAAGACTTCTTTGTCCCATGTCTTTTTTTTTTTTTTTTAAGATGGGGTCTCACCATGATGGCCAGGCTGGTCTTGAACTCCTGACCTCAGGTGATCCACCCACCTCAGCCTCCCAAAGTGCTAGGATTACAGGCTTGAGCCACTGCGCCCAGCTGTCCTGTGTCTTCAGCTGGTGCTTAGGGTATGGAGCAAAAAGTGGGTGCCAGAGTTGAGATTCAGGGAGTGGAGAGTGGGGAGGGGCTTCTGCCCTCTGGGAACGGCACAGAGGGATGCAGTGGTGCAGCCCTGGCCACAGCACATGCCTGCGTGCTTAGAGTCAGATGTGGCTGAGCTAAGTGGGGAGGTCCGGGGAAAACCTGAATCTCAGCACCCAGGGCAGGAGTGGGGAACCTCCGCCCTGAGCCATTTGCCTCCCCAGGAGCCACAGGGAGCCCTTAGGTACCAGCCTTGAGAGATCGTCCACATTCGTCCATGGTAATGCCCTTGCTGTCTCTCTCTGTCACCAGTGGAAGGACTAAAAGTGGTGGAGATTGAGAAATGCAAGAGTGACATTAAGAAGATGAGGGAGGAGCTGGCGGCCAGAAGCAGCAGGTAGGGTCTGCGCTGGCGCCACGGGCGGCCGGGCCTGGGGAGGGCTTTTCTTTCCAGATGGGCTGCGGCTATGAGCTTTGTTTCTCTAAAAGAAAGGCTGGTGGTTCAGGCTCCGGACAGCGCAGTCCGGAGACAGCCACCCTGCTTGTCACCTGCCTGTCAGTGAGTGGCTTTCTTCTAACGAAAGAGCACATAAAGGCCGGGCGGTGGCTCATGCCTGTAATCCCAGCACTTCGGGAGGCCAAGGCGGGAGGATCACTTGAGGTAAGGAGTTCAAGACCAGTTTGGCCATCATGGTGAAACCCGATCTTTGCTAAAAATACAAAAATTAGCCAGGGTGGTAGCACACGCCTATAACCCCTGCTATTCTGGAGGCTAAGGCAGGAGAATCACTTTAACTGCGGAGGCAGAGGTTGCAGTGAGCTGAGATCATACCACTGTACTCTAGCTTGCGCTCAACAGAGCAGGACTCTGTCTCAAAAAAAAACAAAAAAAGAGCAGCCAGCATGGTGGCTCATGCCTATAATCCCAGCACTTTTGAGAAGCCGAGGCAGGCAGATCACGAGGTCAGGAGTTCGAGACCAGCCTGACCAACATGGTGAAACCCCGTGTCTACTAAAAATACAAAAGTTAGCCAGGTGTGTTGGTGCATGCCTATAACCCCAGCTACTGGGGAGGCTGAGGGCAGGAGAATCGCTTGAACCTGGAGGCAGAGGTTGCCATAAGCCAAGATTGCGCCACTGCACTCCAGCCTGGGCTCGACAGAGCAAGACTCTGTCTCAAAAACAAAGAGCACATACAGCAGATGGGGGCTAGGAAGACGACTTTGCAAAAAGGGGAGTCCTCCTTCCGCAGATCCAAGCCTTAGGAGCAATGTATCCAGCTTGGAATAAGTTGATACCCATTTCTAAAGACAGAACAAAAAGAGAGAAAAGGCGTTTGGGGGATGAGCCTCCTGGTGTCCCTGGGGACCCCATTCCCTGTGTGATATTCCCACAGGGTTGCAGTCCAGCGAGGGCTCCAGCCATTAGGAACACCGAAGTCGTTCTCCCGGGAGCAGCCGTCCTTCACAGGTGCTCCGGGGGCCCAGGGAGCTGTGACTTGAGGGAGAATGCCGCAGCCTCCACCATGCTACCTCCAAAGTCAGTTTTTTGTACAGCAGGACTGTATTAGAGCCAGCCAAACTGGGGGGTGGAAATGCACATAGTAGCAAAGAGACGCCAGTGATGATGAGCAGAGTGCAGCATTGAGCACTTGTGTGCGGGCGCTGAGCTGAGTGAGGGGCGCACGGGACCTGCTCACACCTCCCGGCTTTGCCTCCATGCCCGCTGGTGCCAGCCCAGAGACCGCTGGCGTATGATGCGGCTCCTGGTTCCCCAGGGTGCCACTGGCCGGCCTTGGCGGAATCTAATGAGGACTCCTGAGCCAAGGAATGGCCCCGGACAACTGCACTCAGTGGCTCAGGGCTGCCTGGCATGCCGACGATCACTCCCTGATGGGAAACTCCAGGGCAATCTGCTTAGTGAGGGAGTGTGGCAGGTGGAAGGGTCTCGGAGGCAGCAGGTAAGGGCAAAGCCGGAGGTCCTTGCCTGGTCTCCTCAAAGCCCCGGGGGCCAGGCCTCAGGGAGGAAGACCGGGTGAAAGGAAGCAGGCCTTGTCTGAGCCACGTGAGAGCGGGTCCTACAGGGACTGTGCCACGTGTCTGTCCCGCAAACTCATGGGCTCACTTGGAGTCAGTACAGCTGACTTAGGGAAAGGCAGGGCCATACTTTGTGACCAGGAAAACTGAGTGAACAGTCCATCTTCGTCATTCCTGTGGTGGGAGGTTCTTGAAGGGACGAGAGACAGAGTCCCTCCTTTGTGACAGAAGTGGCCACAGAGTTGGGCCCCCAAGGCTGGGATCCAGCTTGACAGCCTCAGACACACATCACTTTGACCTGTGACACCACCCTTGGCCATGAGCTCTATGCGGCTTGGGTCAGCCCTCTGGCCGTCCCCTGTGCCCAGGTGCCATGCTGCCATGGCAGGAGGATGGTGTCCCAGTGCCGTGCTGCCTCCCTTGGGGGCTGTAGGTGAAACAGGAAAGCCTTTCTGGCCCCACCACCAGCATGAGGGGAAGAGGATGAAACCTGAGGTCTAGTCTTCAGCCTGAAACCAGATTCCTACACAGCAGCCTGGGGGCTCCCTGTGGGTTAGGGAACTCCACCGCCCTGAGGAGTGTGTCTGGAGCTAGGCCATGCCTCCCAGGGCTCCCCCCAGCTCCTCACCCACAAATGTGTGTCCCTGAGCACTTTCTGGAGGTATTTGTAGAATGCAGCCTCTTCTCCCTCTGCCCACCCACAGCAGAAGCAGCAGCAAGTGGTGAGACAGCCTCCCGCCTCGCTGGTCCTGCCCCTCCATGTCTGTAGAAAGCAAGGTGAGGGCTCGATCTCACGCTGCTCCTGGGGTGGCTCCTGATGTGTGCTGGTCCTGCGGGTCACGTTGCAGGGGGGGAAGAATTTGTTTTATTGAACTTATTGTCATTTCCTGGGGCTTCAAAAACTGGGCAGTTTGAAACGATGGGAATGTATTCCCACGTAGTTCTGGAGGCCACAGTCCAAAATCAGGGTGCCAGCAGGCCCTGCCCGCTCTAAAGACCCCAGGGGTGGGTCCTTCCAGGCCTCTCTTGGCCGCTGATGGCTGCCAGCGGCAATCCCTGGCGTCCCTCGGCTGGAGGTCTCTGCCTGCATCTTCACCTGGTGCTCCCATCTGTTCTGTCCAGATTTCCCCCTTTTTCTAAAGATACCCATCCTATCGGAATGGGGTCACCCTCCAGGATGACATCATCTTAACCACGTCTGCAACAGCCCTGTCCCCAAATGAGGCCACCTTCACAGGCAGCAGGTTGAGGACTGCAGCATATGACTTGTTGGGGGAGATGCAGTTCAGCCCATAACACTCCACGTGGGAGGATAACACCGATTCCAGAACACACAGAGGAAGCTGCCAGGAGCTCCAGTGAAGCATCAGCCCCCAGGTGCCCGTCAGGCACGTCGGGCTGTGGGGGGCACTTGGGCCCATGTGAGTGACGAGGGCACTTCCTCCAGGGTACATTTTTAGAACGCACAGCACCATAAACCAAAGAGAAGGAGACTTCCTGGTGCCCCATCAGCTTCTGGAGGCGACATTCTCAGCTGACAGCTCTGGCAGCCTCCCCCGTAGGTGAGAGACAGGTAAATGAGGCTCTTGCGTACAACACAGAACAGGGTAAAAAAATCTCGAGCGTCGCCGACACATTGAGAAAAAACGAATCCAGCCTCCTGGGCTCTGGTCTCAGCCCCAGCGCGTCACGTGCCGCAGGCCCTAGTCACAGAGCCAGCAGCCCCCACACACGAAACCCCTTCCTGTTTCTCTATGTAGAAAGGAACTCGGAATAGAGACGCCGAGCTGTTCGCCTGGTGCCTTTTCTCTTTGTCAACAGCAGGGTTGCGTCTCACTCATGAGAGCCCTATAGCAGTGTGGGGACCCTGGGACTAGGCTTAAGGTGGGACGTCCCCGGATGGCTGGGCAGAGGAGCTGCCAAAGGCCGGTGGAGCGGGGGTTGGGAGGCGGCCCCTTCCCGAGATGGCAGCCCAGCCAGAGGCCTCTAGACAGTCTTGCCTCTGGGAGGAGAATAGAGGCCCCGGACAGGGTGGGTCTAGCTCAGCCCCATGCGCTCAGAGGACCACCGTGAGCCTGAAATGTGGACCTACGTTCAGCCCACATAGCACACCCCAGTGGGGCCTCAGAGCCAGGGGTCTGGAGCCACCAGAAGCTGCCCCTTGGGACCAGCAGCAGTACCAGGGTCCAGACACAGCACCCGGGAGCAGGCGGCCGTCCCCTGAGAGTCACGAGTCAGGTTTCTCAAGGTTTTCCTTCAGAGACGACAGAGGCCCAACTGCCAGCTGACACTTAGGATGGGAACAGGGCAGGTCTACCCTGGGGGCCGCGGCCACTCTGGCCCCCGCACTGTGCCAGGCAGAGAGCAGAGCATGGAATGTGGGGTTTGCTCAGAGCTGGGGAGCCTGCAGGAGCCTGGGGTGGCAACTGAGGGCTCAGCTTTCATCCCAAACAAATGGCCTTGTGCACTGGCCTAAGCCCCAGGGAAGGGGGGATGGGGACCCTAGGAAATGAAAGCAAAAATAAGCTCCAAATAGGATGAAAAGAAAGGGCGCGGTGCCAGCTGCTCTGTTTGCTGAAAACGCTGGTTTCCATGGCAACAGGATGCAGAGAGAGGGGCTGTCTGGCCAGGCAGGGTCAGGGAGCCCCAGCAGGCCCTTCTCTGCTCCCAGCTCTGTGGGAAACCGCAGGATTCCCACAGTCAAACTGTGTTGCTTGGTGAAGACTTCCATAGCCCTCCCAGGGAACGCAGGAGACTTACAGAGACAACATGTGTGCAGATGTTTACACAAAAGAGCAGAGCAGAGAAGAAATCACACTCATGCCATCATAGGCAGCACAGACAACGTTCAGTACTGCTCGGAAATGTGTCCGTGAATTTCTCGTCCAGTGGGTGAGAGTAGATACCCCCTGATCGGTGCACGTTGTTGGTTGTTTTTGTTAATATTTTGCTGAATCTGTTCGAATTCCCCCTGTGCATCAAACCGTGGTAGCAACTCTGACGGGTTTTGTAAGCATGAAGCAGAGGGAAGGGCGACCACGTGAGTCTGTTGTGCGGAGGTTATCACGGGGAGGACACAGGGCACAAGAGAAAATCACACTGAAGCCTCTTTTCCAGAAGGGAAATCTGTGTGTTACTCTAGCTTTGGAAAAGGCACAGGCTCCCTGGAAAACCTCCAAGCTCTGCTGATGGGAGTTGAAGGGTGGACACCACCATGACAGCAGCGGACAGTGTCCCTCATTTAAATCTGGACCCAAGGCCTTCCAGATGTTTTCTGTGTATAGATATCTTGTTTTGAAAAACAACTATAACATGCTGTTTCCTGGTCTATTTTTCACTAATGGTCTTGTGAGCAATAAACAGATTACATGTAACCAGCGTACAGCTCAGAGATTTTCCCAGAAGGCCACAACCAGGCACTGTTTCTAAACCCACCGAACGTGCTTTCTTCCCTGTGGCTGGTCGTTTTTCAGCACTGGCTGTCAGTACATGCTGTGCATAGCGTTCTTATTTTCCCTTTTCATGTAGTTTCCTCACTCCACGTACTATCCGTGATTATCTTCCTAATGGCATAAGAGTTCCTCAAGCGATGCACTGTGCTGGTTTAAACTACTTCCATTTGGGGACATTCAGGTGGCTTCTAGTCAGCTTCGTGTTTTTGTTACAATGAATCAAGCCACGATGAATATCTGCGTGCATAGAACTGTTTGCTCCTGTTTAATTCTTAAGATAAATTCCCCAGGGTAGATGTGTGGGCTCAGAGGATACGAATTTCTTTCTTTTTTTTTTTTTTTTTTTTTTGAGATGGAGTCTCACTCTGTCCCCCCGAGGCTGGGGCACAATGTCGTGATCTCGGCTCACTGCAACCTCTGCCTCCCAGGTTCAAGCGATTCTCCTGCCTCAGCCTCCCGAGTAGCTAGGACTACAGACACGTGACACCACACCCAGCTAATTTTTGTATTTTTAGTAGAGATGGGGTTTCACTGTGTTAGCGAAGATGGTCTCGATCTCCTGACCTCATGATCCACCTGTCTCGGCCTTCCAAAGTGCTGGGATTACAGGCGTGAGCCACTGCGCCCAGACAAGGATGTGAGTTTCTATGTGGCTCTCATAGTGCAGCATTAAATTGCTCTCCCCGAAGATGGGGCTTTATTTACAAATCACAGGAGCTTCAGCCGCATTCAGCTCCCTGAGTGCCCCCCAGCCTGGTGAATGTCACACAGGCCAGGCATGACCCCCACCCAGTGTCGTCCAAGTACATAGGGAGCCTGGTCACTTCCAAGCAAGTGCACAGCCGCAGAGGGTCCCCAGATCCGCCCAGCCCACCCCCTCCCCCCAGGCACTCTGCTGCAGGGGCACAAGGGCAGCAAGACCCCCTGGGGCAGCCGCTTCTCGTTCAGCTTCCAGGGACCACCCTGCAGCCAGCACACTGCCCAGGCGGAAGGAAGGCGGCTTTCCCTCCGAAACACACGTGGCTCACCTTGCCCTGCTCCTGCATGGGACACCTCGGCACCGAGTGCTGAACAAAATTGGGATCAGGCAGAAAATTCATGTGTTAACATTCCACGTAACAGGGCACGTTGGAAACTTTTAAAAAGTGCATCCCTGGGGACTGGGTACTAACGTGTGCTCTGGCCACACCCTAGAGGAACTTTGAAAATGGAGCTAAACAGGGTCCAAAGTGGCTCCAGCCAGATGTCCTGGCGCTTGCGAAGGCAAGGGTCATGAGTTCAAGGCCCACACTGATTGGCAAAAAAAAAAAAAGAAAATGGAGCTAAGCTTTGTGCAGCAGCTTCGGATGAGTTCATGATACGTGAGGTGGCAGAGCAAGTTGCAGCAGAGTGAATGTGGTGCGATTCCATCTTTGTTTAAAAGTGCAAAGGGGCCGGGTGGGGTGGCTCACGCCTGCAATCCCAACACTGTGGGAGGCCGAAGCAGGCAGATCACTTGAAGTCAGGAGTTCAAGACCAGCCTGGCCAACATGGTGAAACCCCGTCTCTACTAAAAATACAAAAATTAGTCAGGTGTGGTGGTGGGTGCCTGTAATCCTAGCTCCTCAGGAGGCTGAGGCAGGAGAATCACTTGAACCCAGGAGGCAGAGGTTTTAGTGAGCTGAGATTGCACGATTGCACTCCAGCCTGGGCAACAGAGCGAGACTCTGCTGGCATGGGGGTAGGAGGGATGGTACAAAGGATTGGGGTGCAATGGCTCACCCTGTAATCCCAACACTTTGGGAGGCTGAGGCAGAAGGATTGTTTGAACCTAGGAGTTCAAGACCAGTCTGGGTAGCATAGCAAGACCCCATCTCTACAAAAAATTAAAATATTGTTAAAAGGTATAAGTGGCCACCCATATGTGTCCACACTTCAGAACATTCTGGAAAGATAAACCAAATGATGAGAAGTGATTTCCAGAGTATGGGATTTCAGGAGACAAATGGGTGAAGTGAGGACTTCAGTTTTCTTACTCTGCTTCTTTTTCACGTTGTTCCCGTGTTTAGATTCTTTAGAATAAGAATGTTTTCATTTTGGAAACCTGCGGAAAAGGTTTTTAGAGACTTGTCTAAAAGAGAAGATAACCCTCAACATCCGACTTTCTGTGTGTTTCCCAAGAGCCCAATGTGAGGTCAGAGGTCCAGGCAGGTCCTGGGGGATTTTGCTCGGGGTCGCTGCCATCCTGACTTCGTCTCCCACGGAGCTTGGGGGTTTGAGTTTGTCGCTTGCCTTAGCTCTGCCGAGGGCTCCACCAGCCTGAGTCAGCTGGACACAGCTCATCTCTGCTCCTCTCTCTAGGACCAGCTGCCTCTGCAAGTACGGTTTCTTGGATAACAGCAAGAAGTTGACTCCTCGGCGTGACGTTCCCACTTACCCCAAGGTAAGGTGAGGTTCCGGCCCAGAAGCGGCTCTGCCAGGGTCTGGCCCTGCGGCCCGGCGTGCTGTGTGCACATCAACAGCCCCGCCCAGCCCCGGGCTGCGGACGGTAAGGGTTACTCTGAGGCAAAGTATTTTTTCTCTGACATTTGTTTAGCAAAAGTGCTCCCAAAGCATACTTTCCCCTGAAAGGCGGTAACAGCTCCGTGCGGCTGCGGCCCGGCCCCTGGAGCTGACCTTGGTAAATGGTTTTCACACTCAGACATTAAAGAACTTCCGTGTTTAACTGAATTGTTAAACATTTAATTAAAACATTGTTTTGGATCCACTCCTTTGGCCCTGGTCCCTGAGCAATCCTTAGCTGTCCTGACAAGTTTTGCTGTTTTGCACAAAAGTGTTCTTAGTTGTAAGAGAAGCTGTGACCTTGGTGAGGTAGCAATGGCATTTTTGAAATCATGGCAAAAGGAGGATCTCAAGATGCTGGTCACCCTCTCAACACCTTCAGCTAGGAAGCAGGCAAAATCCCAGCCAGTTCATTTGTAATGTGTTCTTGTGCTAAGATTCAGGGGGCACAGGTTCCACAGACAGCAGAGGCCTGGGCGGCACACAGTGGGTTCTGCGGTGCCTGCTGTTCGGGCAGTGACAGAGCCTTCCAGGGCCTCCATGTGGGCCGCCGGTGTCCGTCAGTCAGCCATTCTATCCGTGCAGTTCCAAACGGTGCCCTGGATGTTGTCAGGTTTTGGGGTTGGGTAATTTTTGTTGTTTTTTTGGGGGGGAGGGAGATTGGGTATTTTTTGTTTTTATTTTTTGAGACAAAGTCTCACTCTGTCGCCCAGGCTAGAGTGCAGTGGCATGATCTCGGCTCACTGCAACCTCCGCCTCTCAGGTTCAAGCGATTCTCCTGCTTCAGCCTCCCAAGTAGCTGGGATTACAGGCTCCCACCACCATGCCCAGCTAATTACTGTATTTTTAGTAGAGACGAGGTTTCACCACATTGGCCAGGCTGGTGTCAAACTCCTGACCTCAGGTGATCCACCCGCCTCAGCCTCCCAAAGTGCTGGGATTACAGGCGTGAGCCACTGTGCCCAGCCTTATCCGAGGTTTTTGAATGGAGATTAGTGCCTTTTTCCATTGGAAAATATGCCCCACGCTTCTCCTGATCCTGTCCCAGGGAGTCATGAAGCACACCTAGATCCAGAATCGAAGGTGTCAGCGCTCTGGATCTGTTCCCTTATAAAAAAACAAAGCGCAAATATCCAGTAAGACCGAGGAGAAGACGACGTGTAATACCAAAGCAGTGTTCTTGTCTTCTGTCTAAAGCCACAGTCTCTGTCCTGTGACAGCAGCCTGACGTCCTTAGGAGCAGCCCCGGGCACCATCCGGGTCAGCAGGTCTGCTCTTCAGGCTCTCAGCAGAACCCAGGGATGGGTTCTGGACAGGAGCACCTCAGAATAACTTCTTAGATTCGAATTTATGCGAAGTGAATCCCCGCCCCCACCACTTCACTTTATTGTCCTTTTTTTTTTTTTTTTTTTTTGAGATGGAGTCTCACTCCATTGTCCAGGCTAGAGTGCAGTAATGTGATCTCAGCTCACTACAACCTCCACCTCTCAAGTTCAAGCGATTCTTCCTCCTCAGCCTCCCACGTAGTTGGGATTACAGGCACCCACCATCATGCCCTGATAATTTTTGTGTTTTTGTAGAGATGAGGTTTCATCATGTTGGCCAGGTTGGTCTCGAACTTCCGACCTCAGGTGATCTGCCTGCCTCGGCTTCCCAAAGTGCTGGGATTACAGGCATGAGCCACCACACCCAGCTGTTGTCCATTTTCTCATCAGGCTTCTTGAGGTCTCATTTACACGAAGTATTCTTTAGGTTTGGAGTACAGTGAATTTTGACCTCCACTGCAAGCAAAATACGGGACATTTCTGTCACCCCAAACCCTTCCCTGTCCCCCGGCCCTGCCTCTGGTGTCCACTGTTAGAATTTCCACTGTGGCACTGGCCCTTTCCAGAAGGCTGTGGCCTGTGAGTATGATGCAGGTGCCTTTGAAAGAGAATAGTCCCGACACGCACATGGCACCGCAGGCCCCCGGCGCCCGGTTAACACAGAGCTCCTGTCATTTCCAGTACCTGCTCTCTCCAGAGACCGTCGAGGCCCTGCGGAAGCCGACCTTTGACGTCTGGCTTTGGGAGCCCAACGAGGTAAGTGCAGGACTCGTGGGCACCACATCCCGGGGGGAGGCAGCTCAGGATCGTGGACCCCAGTGGGATCACCCCCATCGCTCTTCCTCCTTCGTGCCTTCTCCTCATCTTTTTAAAGACTGAAAAAAGACAAAAACAAAGTAACACTTTCTAGGAGGACTCAGGAGACAGAACTCACGGCAGGGGGATTCTGTGAGTTGGGGAGGCAGCTGTCAGGGCAGGGAGCCTCCATCCAGGGCTCCTCCATGCTGGGCTCCCCAGGCCTCTGCCCACCCTACAGACCCTCTCAAGAGGCTGGCAGCCCCTGCAAACAGGCTGTCTGCTGCAGAACGCCCCTGCTGGGAGCAAGTCTCTCCTTGAGGAAGGGGCTGCGGTCAGAGCATTCTGCTCTGAGACCATTGTCTGCAAAGGCAAGGCACAGGCAGCTGGTCACCCCGGATAAGTGACATGTGGGTTCCGGGAACTGTCACCTTCTGTAGCAAGGCTTGAGGCCAGGAGTTCCAGACCAGCCTGGGTGATATGGCTTGGCTGTGTCCCCACCCAAATCTCACCCCGAATTGTCATCCCCACATGTCAAGGGTAGGGCCAGGTGGAGATAACTGAATCGTGGGGGCAGTTCCCCCCATGCTGTTCTCGTGGTAGTGAACGAGTCTCAGAAGATCTGACGGTTTTATAAATGGGGTGCCCTGCACACCCCTCTTGGCTGCCGCCACGTAAGTGATCGTCTCTTCCTTTGCCTTCTGCCTTTATTGTGAGGCCTCCCCAGCCGTGTGGAGCTGTGAGCCCTTGAGCCTCTTTTTCTTTATAAATTTCCCAGACTCGGGTATGTCTTTATTAACAGTGTGAGAACAGACTAATGCACTGGACAGCATAGCAAGACCTCGTCTCTACAAAACGAAAAGAGTGTTGAATTCCCATTGGCTGAAAAATAAAAAAAATTGGGAATTTTTGTGTTTTTTGCACCCCAAGAAGTGAAAAGGTTTTCTCATTGCAGTCCTCAGGCCCAGCAGTTTTCAACCCACCAAACTCTAAGGACGTTTTTGTGCTTGTCAGCAACATGGAGAATGCAGGCGGCTCCTCAGAAGCTCATTTGTGATTTTTGACAAGCTGGGCTGCAGCAAAGTCTCCACAAAGGGCAGGGAGTGGGATCCCCGAGGTCAGGTTGCTGACCCCTGAGTCCCTGCCCTCTGCTAAAAGAACCTCTTTCATGAGCTTCGTCTCCCAGCAGGAGAAAAACGGCAGCAACAGCCAGAAAATCAGAGATCCAGCCTGCACCCCCCACCCCAGTTCACCCAGAAGGGCAGCAGGCGGTCAGTCCCAGGGGCTGCACTACTGCAAACCTCAAAAGCTCCAGCCGCCACGTGCCAGTTTGCTCCCCAGGTCTGAGAGTGCAGGACCAGGAGACAACAGGAGGAGCAGGCTTTACATGTGCGGCATGACTGTCTTGGTCAACGCATAAAAAGAAAGGGTTGGGAGATGCAAGGAGTGAGGGAAAGGGAGAAAGGGATGCGTCGAGCTGCTGGCCTGCAGCGGCGGCTCCCAGGGACCCCGCACCGAAGCTGAGACTGGGCAGAGCAAGTCCCCGGCAAGCAGACACTGCAGACGGTCACAGCACACCGACTCCTGCCCCAGCCTGCGGGCAGGCATCACTCCTGGAGCATCGTGCAGAAAAATCACCATCCCTGGCAAGGTGCAGTGGCTCACAGCTGTAATCCCGGCACTTTGGGAGGCTGAGGCGGGCGGATCACCGGAGATCAGGAGTTTGAGACCAGCCTGATCAACATGGTGAAACCCCACCTCTACTAAAAATACAAAATTAACCAGGTGTGGTGGCCCATGCTCGTAATCCCAGCTACTCAGGAGGCTGAGGCAGGAATATCGCTTGAACCCAGGAGGCAGAGGTTGTGGTGAGCCAAGATCATGCCATTGCGTTCCAGCCTGGGCAACAAGAGTGACACTCCATCTAAAAAAAAAAAAAAAAAGAAAATCACCATCCCCAAAGTCATGACCGCAGCCTCTTGTGAGGAAGAGCTAAGCCAGGGGCCACTGCCGGCAAAGCGCCTGCACGAAAACCGCACTTGCTGTCTTTTCTGCCACCGTCTACCAGGGAACACAGGCCACTGTGACTGGGGAGGTGGGGCTTGCCCCGTGAAGCTGAGGGATCTGTGCCTCCATCATAGAAAGGCCACCTCTCTGTCCTCTGATCGCAGAGTGGATTCACACCCGCTCTTGCGGCTGGCAGGTGGGCAAGGCAGACAGCTCCCGGCAGATGGACTCAGCCTCTGGGCAGTGTCTCCCACGGCCCGTGGTTTCTGCCCAGCAGATCCCAAGGGTGCCCCAGGAGACCGATGAGGGTTCCAGTGCTTCCACGAAGCATCTGGCTGCCTGCGTGTGAGAACGCAGAGATGCCCAAGACACGAGCCTTGGTCTCTGGCAGATCTGGTGATGCCAAGAATTTTGGAATGTGAGTGGCAAAGAGGGACAACTAGAGGGACACACAGGAAAACAGCCCTCTCGGCCCCACAAAACTGCATCTGGCTGCCCACGAGGCAGCTGGCACTCAGAGAGCACCAGTGCCCACAGGTGATCACCTCTCTCCCTTCCAGCGGGGCCGACCCTGTCTTTCTCCCAGTGGCTCGAACCAGTGTCCTGCCCATCACAAACCAGACAGGGGACATGACTTCAGGCTGTCATGCCCTCCCATCTATTAGGGCGTCTGCCCAAGGCTGTGGCCGCCTCTATCAAGTGCAGAGCTGGGAGGCTTCAGGAGCCTCCCCTATCATCTCATGAGTCCCCCACGAGTGGACCGTGCAGCCCATTCAGACCAGGACCCGCCGCCGCATGCAGGAGCTGCCTACTCCCTGGTGCCTGCCCAGAGCTCAGGACTGCACGTGCAGCCACAGATGCATGTGGCCCTCCTGCCCCACAGCCTCCACGTAGGCCACGTAAGCGGCAGCACGTGGCTCTGTCTGCCAGTTGGCATCTCCCCTTGACTCTGAGTTAATAGCAGACACACCTGCCCTTCAGGGCTGCCTTGAGCATCTGGGCTGGTCAGGTGGAGAGCGAGGGTTTTCCAGGCTGCGGCCCCTACAGTCCTAAGCACCTGTGTTCAGGACGGTGAGGGGCCAGCCGCTCTGGGCAGCAAGGCCCCTGGCTGGGTGATCCAGGCAGCAGCTGACAGCAGCCTGGGAGCCAGCCCTTCTGTCCACGTGGGGCCCCATCTCCAAAAGCCGGACTGATGCCTTGCACATTATCCGAGCTACATCTGCACTGTCTTCCCAAGGAAAACCAGTATGTAGTTCACGTGCTTTAAGGACATTTCCCAGGTGACATTCCAAGCGCCCATCTGTGGCCGCACGTGGAGGATTTCCAGTTTTCCAGATGGATTTTCTGCAATGCCAGAGAACCCTCTGCCTCCTTTAGAGCCACCTCATCAATGCCGTGATTGCAAGCTTCGATCTACAAAAACGCACCTCCCTGGCAGCATTTCCAGGCCTCATACACAGCGTAACAAGTACAAATGGATTTTGGTGGCACACCCTGTCCTAGTTTGCTGAGGCTGCCATAGCAAAGTGCAGAGACTGGGGTGGCTTCGGCCGCAGAATTTGATTCCTCAGCTCTGGAGCTGGAAGTTCAGGATGAAGGTGGCTGTCAGGTTTGGCTTTTCCAGGGGCCTCTGTCTGTGGCTTGCAGACGCCACGTCTTGCTGTGTCCTCCTGTGGCCTGTTCTCTCTACACACACACCTCCAGTGCCCTTCCTCTTCTTATAAACACACCAGTCCCAGCCGGGCGCAGTGGCTCACGCCTATAATCCCAGCACTTTGGGAGGCCGAGGTGGGCGGATCACGAGGTCAGGAGTTCAAGATCAATATGGTGAAACCCCGTCTCCACTAAAAATACAAAAATTAGCCAGTTATGGTGGCGCACACCTGTAGTCCCAGCTATTCAGGAGGCTGAGGCGGGAGAATCGCTTGAACCTGAGAGGCGGAGGTTGCACTGAGCTGAGATCATGCCATTGCACTCCAGCCTGGGTGGCAGAGTGAGACTTCATCTCAAAAAAAAGACAACAGCCCCATTGGACCAAGGCGTCACCCTGACTGTATGGAACCTTCCTGACCTCCATAAAGGCCCTGTCTCCAAATAGCCCGTTGGGGTTCAGGGCTTTAACACGTTGACTTAGAGGAACATGCCCTTTTGGGAAGAGAAGGTCATGCCATGAGCAGAGGCAGGCAGCAAGGCATGCTGGGCTCCAGCAGGGATGGCCCAGCGCCCTGCACAGACAGAGGCAGGCAGGAAGGCATGCTGGGCTCCAGCAGGGATGGCCCAGCGCCCAGCGCCCTGCACAGACAGAGGCAGGCAGGAAGGCATGCTGGGCTCCAGCAGGGATGGCCCAGCGCCCTGCACAGACAGAGGCAGGCAGGAAGGCATGCTGGGCTCCAGCAGGGATGGCCCAGCGCCCTGCACAGACAGAGGCAGGCAGGAAGGCATGCTGGGCTCCAGCAGGGATGGCCCAGCGCCCTGCACAGACAGCAGGCAGCGGGCGGCTGGGCTGGAGGCGGGCACAGGTGGGGGGCCCTGGGTGGGGGACACCTGCCGGGGTATCTAAACTGCCCCTTTTCTGCACGTCTCCCCTCCTGCTGGGCTCCCCACCCAAGACCTGGTTTTTCCAGAAAGCAATGCCCACTTTGGTCAAACTCATTTTTAAAACTCCCTTCATATTTTCCTCCCTAACTTAATTAGCTCCAAGGCACTGACTGGGCTGCATGGAAATAGAGATCCACCATGACAATAAATCCTCTGAAAACAAAATCTGTTTCAGCTCAAACGGGTCTCAAGAGAAGCCAGAGCCCCATGAAAAAGGGTTAGAAGGAGCGGCTTTCCCAGGGCAGGCTCCATCTGCACAATGCAGTTAAGACGTGAAAGTGTCTCCGGTCCCAGCGGGGCCCCAGAGGAGCACAGGTCAACATTGCTGGATGTAGATCATCAAAGTGCCTTTGATCTCCAGCCTCAGGCAAGGAAAGGGCCTTCCTCTCTGTGACGCTGCCCCTGCTCAGGTGTGTGCCGGATAGAACCTCAGCTGTGACACCGATCCACTGAGATTGTTTTTCATGTGTAGAAATCAATAAAAGCTTTTGGTGTGGAGATTTGGGAGCGGGCTGTGCTCTCTCGCCTCGTGGCCATCCTTGCTTTCTTAGAATTCTCCTTGACTCTGGAACCAGCCCTCCACCCCCAGGAGACCCCCCAGTGCGCTCTCAAAGCCCCACCCATCTGGGTGGTGTGGAAAGGCCAGTCCGAAGACCTCTCCTCCTGCATCTCGCCGACCAGGCTTCGCTCTCGGCAGACTTTCTGGGAGGGGGAGAGCGCACCCTCCTGCCGACCGCCCTGCTGGCGCTCCAGGACGACAGAGGGAAGCCAGGGGCTGGGGAGCCAGCTCCACGGCTGCCCGATGCCCACCCTTCTCCTGTGCCCACAGATGCTGAGCTGCCTGGAGCACATGTACCACGACCTCGGGCTGGTCAGGAACTTCAGCATCAACCCCGTCACCCTCAGGAGGTGGCTGGTGAGTGCCAGACCCGCCTTGGGTTCCTCCCGGGCAGGTGGTTTCATCCAGTTCCACAGGCATGGAGGGAATGCATCACCAGGGCACCTTCCTGATGGCACTGCGCTCCCCGAGAGCAGAGGCGACGTTCCCCGGGAGTTCTGTGGGGACGCTTGGCCTGTCTCTGTTCATCCTTCCACCAAAAAACATTCTTTACGCCCAAGCTCCTGCTCTGATGAGCAAGGAAATAGTGAGACTCTGACATCTCACTATTTCCTTGGCGGGGCAGCGAGTGCTAAAGCAGCAGCGTGTGGGACCCTGTGTGGGGGTGGGAGTGTGGGTGTGGGTGTGTGGGTGTGAGTGTGGGTGGGAGCGTGTGTGTGAGTGTGGGTGGGAGCGTGTCTGTGTGAGTGTGGGTGTGTGGGTGTGTGTCTGCGTGAGTGTGGGTGGGAGCGTGTGTGAGTGGGTGGGAGCGTCTGAGTGTGGGTGGGAGTGTGCACGTGTGTGGGAGTGTGGGTGGGAGTGTGCATGTGTGTGTGGGAGTGGGTGTGTGTGTGTGGGAGTGTGTCTGCATGTGGGTGTGGGTGGGAGTGTGCACGTGTGTGTGTCTGAGTGTGAGTGTGTGGGTAGGCGTGTGTCTGCATGTGGGTGTGTGGGAGTGTGTGTGAGCCTGTGTGTGAGTGGGTGTGGGTGGGAGTGTCTGCATGAGTGTGGGTGGGAATGTGCGTGCACATGTGTGGGTGGGAGTGTGTGTGCACGTGTGGGTGTGGGTGGGAGTGTGTGCGCATGTGAGTGTGAGTGTGTTCGTGGGAGTGTCTGGGTGTGTGTGAGTGTGGGGGGTATGTGTGTGGGAGCATGTGTCTGCATGTGAGTGGGAGTGTGTATGTGTCTGTGTGGGGGTGGGAGTGTGGGGGAGTGTATTTGTATGAGTGTAGGGGTGTGGATGTGAGCGTGCAGGGGGTGTCTGTGTGTTTAGGGGTGGGTATGTGTGAATGGGGTGGGAGTGGGTGTGTCAGTATGGGTGTGTGTGTGTATTTGTGGATGTGGGGTATGTCTGCATGTGTGTATCTGTGTGGATATAGGGTGTGTGGGAGCGCATGTGTGTATCTGTGGATGTGGGGTGTGTGTGTACATGTGTGTCTGGATGTGGGGTATGTGGGGGTGCTTGTATCTGTGTGGATGTGGGGTGTGTCTGCATGTGTATCTATGTATGGATGTGGGATGTGTCTGTGGGTGTGTGGATGTGTCTGGATGTGGGGTGTGTAGGGGTACATGTGTGAAGATGGGTGTGTGCATGTCTGTGTGGATGTGGGGTGTGTGTGTGCATGTGTATCTGGATGTGGGGAGTGTGAGTATATGAGTGTGGGTGTGTGCATGTGATATCTGTATGTGTGGATGTGGGGTGTGTCTGTGTGTGTGTGGATGTGGGATGTGTCTGTGAGTGTGTGGATGTGGGGTGTGTGTGCATGTGTATCTGTGGATGTGGGGAGTGTATATGTGAGTGTGTAGAAATGAGTGTGGGTGTGTGCATGCGATATCTGTGTGGATGTGGGGTGTGTGTGTGGATGTGGGGTCTGTGTGTGTGTGGATGTGGGATGTGTGTGGGTGTGTGGATGTGGGGTGTGTAGGGGTGCATGTGTGAGGATGGGTGTGTGCATGTCTGTGTGGATGTGGGGTGTGTGTGCATGTGTATCTGTGGATGTGGGGAGTGTATATGTGAGTGTGTAGGAATGAGTGTGGTTGTGTGCATGCAATATCTGTATGTGTGGATGTGGGGTGTGTGTGTGGATGTGGGGAGTGTGTGAGTGTGCAGGAATGAGTGTGGGTGTGTGCATGTGATATCTGTGTGGATGTGGGGTGTGTCTGTGTGTGTGTGGATGTGGGATGTGTCTGTGGGTGTGTGGATGTGGGGTGTGTCTGTGTGTGTGTGGATGTGGGATGTGTCTGTGGGTGTGTGGATGTGGGGTGTGTAGGGGTGCATGTGTGAGGATGGGTGTGTGCGTGGATGTGGGGTGTGTGTGCATGTGTATCTGTGGATGTGGGGAGTGTGTGAGTGCAGGAATGAGTGTGGGTGTGTGCATGCGATATCTATTGTGGATGTGGGGTGTGGATGTGGGGAGTGTATATGTGAGTGTGCAGGAATGAGTGTGGGTGTGTGCATGTGATATCTGTATGTGTGGACGTGGGGTGTGTCTGTGTGTGTGTGGATGTGGGGTGTGTCTGTGTGTGCCTGTATCTGTGGCTGTGGGGAGTGTGAGTGTGCAGGAATGAGTGTGGGTGTGTGCGTGTGATGTCTGTATGTGTGGATGTGGGGTGTGTCTGTGTGTGGATGTGGGGAGTGAATGTGAGTGTGCAGGAATGAGTGTGGGTGTGTGCATGTGATGTCTGCATGTGTGGATGTGGGGTGTGTCTGTGTGCATGTGTATCTGTGGATGTGGGGAGTGTGAGTGTTCAGGAATGAGTGTGGGTGTGTGCATGCGATATCTGTATGTGTGGATGTGGGGTGTGTCTGTGTGTGTGGATGTGGGGAGTGTATATGTGAGTGCAGGAATGAGTGTGGGTGTGTGCATGCGGTATCTGTATGTGTGGATGTGGGGTGTGTCTGTGTGTGTGGATGTGGGGAGTGTATATGTGAGTGCAGGAATGAGTGTGGGTGTGTGCATGCGATATCTGTATGTGTGGATGTGGGGTGTGTCTGTGTGTGTGGATGTGGGGAGTGTATATGTGAGTGCAGGAATGAGTGTGGGTGTGTGCATGTGATGTCTGTATGTGTGGATGTGGGGTGTGTATATGTGAGTGCAGGAATGAGTGTGGGTGTGTGCGTGTGATGTCTGTATGTGTGGATGTGGGGTGTGTCTGTGTGTGCCTGTATCTATGGATGTGGGGAGTGTGAGTGTGCACGAATGAGTGTGGGTGTGTACATGTGATGTCTGTATGTGTGGATGTGGGGTGTGTCTGTGTGTGTGTGTGGATGTGGGGTGTGTCTGTGTGTGCCTGTATCTGTGGATGTGGGGAGTGTGAGTGTGCAGGAATGAGTGTGGGTGTGTGCATGTGATGTCCATGTGTGAATATGTTTAGTAGCAGGTATTTTTAATGAAATTTGTTCACAACCAAATACTAAAAACCTATTAAAGATTTCATGGGATTGAGGACCAAGAGTCCCCTCTTGGAGTCTCCCCTCCCAACCCCCTAACCTTGTGCCCCAACGTCCTTGACTGCAAGGTGAACCCCTGGTGGGAGCTCTGTCCCCGAACCTGCCCCAGGCGCCATGCTGTGGCCCATTTGACGTTCTCAGGGTCTCCGCATCACCTCGTTGGCATCTGTGGTAAACACGAGAACGCTGTTGCCCTCTGCTTGGGATGAGGGTTTGGCAGAGAATGTCGAAGCCAGCGCACAGCCTTCTGGGTGGCTTGGGAGGAGAAGTGGGTGGGCCCGGGCACAGGGTGACCCCAGCCCCTGCCTCCCGCAGCTCTGTGTGCACGACAACTACAGAAACAACCCCTTCCACAACTTCCGGCACTGCTTCTGCGTGGCGCAGATGATGTACAGCATGGTCTGGCTCTGCGGTCTCCAGGTGGGTCCTGCCCGCCGCACACCCAGACCTCCATCTCTGGGTCAGGCGGAGGCTTCTTCCGGGGAGCGGCAGCCCCCTCCCACCAAGAATGCCACAGGCACAGGGTCCTCAGCCGCTCTGCCCCTGCTAGGGAAGCACCCTTACCGTCAGTCTCCCCATGGGAGAGGCTGCTGCTAGGATTACCTGAGCAAGTGCACCCCGACCTGGTCACCCCTCCACCCCGCAGGCAGGCCAGTCCCCCCCCACCACGCCGGGAGGCTCCACATGGCTACAGGGGCTTTGTCCCCTCTCCCACCACCGCCACTCACCCAGTTCCACCCCCCTCACCCCATCCCACCCTCCAAGTGGAGAGGGCAAACACCTATGCCCTGTTTTCCAATCCAGGAGAAGTTTTCCCAAATGGATATTCTGATCCTAATGACAGCGGCCATCTGCCACGATCTGGACCATCCCGGCTACAACAACACGTATGTACAGGGTTTTCTCTTTTTTTCCTTGTAAAAGGCACCCTGGCTACCGGAGGGAAACTATCAGCCCAACCCTCAGAGCAGTTACCAGATGGAGCTGTCAATGGCAGCCTCCCAGCCCCAGCTCTGCCTCCACCGACACAGCTCCAGCTTCTGGGCTTTGCCCGGGGCCTTGGGTCTCCCGGAGCAGGAACCTTCAGGATTATCAGACCCCAGGGGGGCTTTCCCAGCCCTGTGCATGCGTGGCTCCAGGCCCAGGTGCACCGCCGAGCTCTGGCTGCGCCAGCGCCTTCTCCACCCCAGGCAGAAATTAACACCGGTGTGTACGCAGGGATGGGGGCTCCACACGCCCCTCTCAGGAACTCGCCCCTCCCTGGACAGACTCCCAGCTGACTTCTGCAGGGAAGGCAGAGAGCAGGGGCCAGAGAGAGTGAGAAAGAGATGGCAGAGGGACAGGAGGTGGGATTGAGGTGTCCCTCATGGGGCGAGGGTGCCTGAGCCTCCCCTCATGCTCCCCTCGCCCCCAGGTACCAGATCAATGCCCGCACAGAGCTGGCGGTCCGCTACAATGACATCTCGCCACTGGAGAACCACCACTGCGCCGTGGCCTTCCAGATCCTTGCCCAGCCCGAGTGCAACATCTTCTCCAGCGTCCCCCCGGATGGGTTCAAGCAGATCCGACAGGTGTGCGGGTGAGGGCCTCCGACCGGAGAGGGGTGCATTCGTGGTGGGGCACAGCAGCCCCACTCTCCAGTGGATAGAGGCTCCAAGAAGCTCCGGGCCACAGCAGTGCCCTGGGGACCCAGGGGAACCCCTCTCTCCAGCTCCCAGAGTGGAGCCCAAAAAAAGAGGGTACCCTCGCCATGCGCACATGTATCCCACTGACCCACACTTCCCAGCTTCTAATTAATTCAGCCTCCGCTGGCCCCTTTGAGATAAATGCTTTGTCTATCTTCCAGCCCAGGAAACTGAGACTTAGCAAAGGTACATAGCCTGACCGAGGAGGGGCCGGGCCCTGGACAGACACTCTACTGCATCCAATGCAGGAAGGCTGCCCACTGCCCCATAACTCCAGGTGCTGTCACCTGCCACCCACGGCCCATCAGCCCCCTCCCTCTTTTTTTTTTTTTTTTTTTTTTTGAAACAGAGTCTCTATTGCCCAGGCTGGAGTGCAGTGGTACAATCTCAGCCCACTGCAATCTCTACCTCCCAGGTTCAAGCAATTCTCCTGCCTCAGCCTCCCGAGTAGCTGGGATTACAGGTGTGTGCCACCACACCTGGCTAATTTTTAGTATTTTGTTGTTGTTGTTTTGTTTTGTTTGAGACTGTCTTGCTGTGTCGCCCAGGCTGGAGTACAGTGGCACGATCCCATCTCAGCTCACTGCATCCTCCACCTCCCGGGTTCGAGCAGTTCTCCTGCCTCAGCCTCCTGGGATTACAGGCACGCGCCACCACACCCAGCTAGTTTTTGTATTTTTAGTAGAGACAGGGTTTCACCATGTTGGCCAGGATGCTCTCAAACTCCTGGCATCAAGATCCGCCCGCCTTGGCCTCCCAAAGTGCTGGGATTACAAGTGTAAGCCACTGCACCCAGCAGATTTTCAGTATGTTTAGTAGAGATGGGGTTTCGCCATCTTGGCCAGGCTGGTCTCAAACTCCTGACCTCAGGCGATCAGCCTGCTTCAGCCTCCCAATGTGCTGGGATTATAGGCATGAGCCACTACACTTGGCCACCTCTTCCATTTTGGATAAGAGGGCTTTCTGCCTCTGGAGAGGGTGAGGCAAAGAGAATGAGAGGACATCTGCAGGAGAGGATGATCCAGTCCACCCGCCCCAGACAGACACCTCCGGCCTGCCAGAATCACGCCCCTTTCCACATGGGAATTCCTCTCAAAGCCCCACTCTCTGACATCTGCAGGGGAGGGAAGCTCTTGGAGAAATGCAGTGGGTTTAATAGCAGCATCCTTCAAACAAGGTCCACCTCCGGTGACCATGACCTCATTTGGAAAAAGGGTCTGTGCATTTGTACTTGTTAAGATCCCCAGATAAGATTGCTGTGGATTGCCCCAGGGGGCCCCAAATCCAAAGACTAGTGTCCTTGGAAGAGACAGAAGAAAAAATGGCCCAGACACAGGGAGAAGGCCATGTGAAGAGGCGATGAGTGGTGGCTGGAGTGGTGCAGCCCTGAAGCAAGGGACTCCCGGGGCGCCCAGGAGCAGGAGGAGACAAGGAAGGACCCTCCCCTGGAGCCTTTGGAGAGAGCAGGCCTTGCCCACATCTGGATCTTGGCTCTGGCCTCCTGCACCATGAGAATGTTTGTTGTAAGCTGCCTGGTTTGTGGCACTTGGTGTGGCGGCCCCAGACTCACCCAGTGTCCCGTCTTCTGCCGTTCCACCAGGCAGACCTCAGCCATTGGAAGTTTAAATGGCTTCCTTCCAGAGGCAGCCGACGAAGGCTCTCTGGACTCCAGTGCTCCCGAGAGCTGCTGAGCCTCCCTTTATCAGAGAGCAGCAGCCTTGTCGACCATGGCTTTCCAATTTGTCTATGCTTCCAGGAAGTTCAAAGCTCAATGTAAACAACTGAGTCAGTGAAACATTTGAGGAAGGTCCAAGGAAGCAGCATGCCCCCTGGAACAGGCCCCGAGGCATCACGGCCTCCTGCGAAATTGTCAAATGTCACCATGTCCCAAAAGCAGAGGTGGCAGAACCGGGCTGAAGTTCACTGGGGTGCTGTGGTCCAGGCCTCTGCTGGCCTGTGCTGTGCCGGCCGCTGTGAGTGTGAAAGGAGCAGAAGGGAACCTTTCCATGTACCCATCCATCCATCCACATGCGCAGTGTGCACGGTGACGGCCTGGGAGGAGCACTGACAGCGGCACCTCGGTACCCACATCCATCCATCCACATGCGCAGTGTGCACGGTGACGGCCTGGGAGGAGCACTGACAGCGGCACCTCGGCACCCACATCCATCCATCCACATGCGCAGTGTGCACGGTGACAGCCTGGGAGGACCACTGACAGGGGCACCTCGGCACCCACATCCATCCATCCACATGCGCAGTGTGCACGGTGACAGCCTGGGAGGACCACTGACAGGGGCACCTCGGCACCCACATCCATCCACATGCGCAGTGTGCACGGTGACGGCCTGGGAGGACCACTGACAGGGGCACCTCGGCACCCACATCCATCCACATGCGCAGTGTGCACGGTGACGGCCTGGGAGGACCACTGACAGCGGCACCTCGGCACCCACATCCATCCACATGCACAGTGTGCACGGTGACAGCCTGGGAGGACCACTGACAGGGGCACCTCGGCACCCACATCCATCCACATGCGCAGTGTGCACGGTGACGGCCTGGGAGGACCACTGACAGGGGCACCTCGGCACCCACATCCATCCACATGCGCAGTGTGCACGGTGACGGCCTGGGAGGACCACTGACAGCGGCACCTCGGCACCCACATCCATCCACATGCACAGTGTGCATGGTGACGGCCCGGGAGGACCACTGACAGCTGCACCTCGGCACCCACATCCATCCATTCACATGCGCAGTGTGCACGGTGACGGCCTGGGAGGAGCACTGACAGGGGCACCTCGGCACCCACATCCATCCACATGCGCAGTGTGCACGGTGACGGCCTGGGAGGACCACTGACAGCGGCACCTCGGCACCCACATCCATCCACATGCACAGTGTGCACGGTGACGGCCTGGGAGGACCACTGACGGGCACCTCGGCACCCACATCCATCCACATGCGCAGTGTGCACGGTGACGGCCTGGGAGGACCACTGACAGCTGCACCTCGGCACCCACATCCATCCATCCACATGCGCAGTGTGCACGGTGACGGCCCGGGAGGACCACTGACAGCTGTACCTCGGTACCCACATCCATCCATCCACATGCACAGTGTGCACGGTGACGGCCTGGGAGGACCACTGACGGGCACCTCGGCACCCACATCCATCCACATGCGCAGTGTGCACGGTGACGGCCTGGGAGGAGCACTGACAGCGGCACCTCGGTACCCACATCCATCCACATGCGCAGTGTGCACTGTGACGGCCCGGGAGGACCACTGACAGCTGTACCTCGGCACCCACTAGGTGCTGACGCACAGCCGCAGGGCTCATGGGCCTGTGATGACATCATCCCACAAACACACACAATTCAACAGAGACAATTTGCAGTCATTACTGAGTCACCGGTTCCAGTACAGTTATCTCCCCCTTATCTATAGGCTCTCTGGCCTCTCATCCATGCTCGCCCCTCCCCACCCTGCAAGCAGGTGCTCTGTGTGGCTACGATAAGGCATGGTGAATCTCCGTCTGCAGTAGGTAAGGGCAGCTGGGAAGAGAGAACACTGTATCTGCCTCTGCTACCCCAGTGGGGAGCTCCTGCAGGGACAGAATCCGGGGAATCAAAACCAGTGAGCACCCCTTAGCGTAGGCCTTGTCCCACCGAGCCGTGTCGGAGAGCATCCCACGAGAGAAGGAGGTGGCACCTGATTGGAGGAGCAGCCACTCTGCACATGGGATCGTCCTCACACCCAGCCACCATGGGGATACACCAGCATTGTCCTGCCTCACATGCTTCACTGACTTCAAAATATGACTCTCCTCTAGGGGTAAAATTAGTTTTACCAATTTTTAAAAAATATATTTTGTCATGGAAGATTTCAGGAATAAATGCTTCACTAATAACACTATTAAATGTTTACAGGAAAATTGCATAATTCAAGATGCAAGTGATGCCCCCCCAAATATACATTTGAAAGGACCTAGTTTGATGGGTTTGGGTTTTGTATCTGATGCTTATGGTTTTATTTTCTTAAAAGAAGAAAATATACCTGGCACAGAGATGGGTTCTGTAAATGCTTGTGGGATGGATGAGTGGGTGCATGGATGGATGGATGGATGGATGGATGGATGGATGGATGGATGGATGGGTGATGGATGGATGAATGTATATAGATAGATGGGTGAATGGATAGGTGGATTAATGGATGGAGAAATGAATGGATGGATAAATGGAAGAAAGGAAGGAAAGATGGACAAAGATGGAAGGATGGATGGGTGGATAGGTGGATGGATGATGGATAAATGGATGGATGGAGGGAGGGATGGATTGATGGATAGATGATGGATAAATGGATGGGTGGATGGATGGAGGGATGGATTGATGGATGGATGGGTGAATAGATGGATGATGGATAAATGGATGGATAGATGGATGGAGGGAGGGATGGATTGATGGATGATGGATAAATGGATGGAGGGAGGGAGGGAGGGATTGATGGATGGATGGATTGATGGATGGAAGGATGGACTGGTGGATGGATGGATGGATGGATGGGTAGATGAATGGATGGGTGGGTGGAGGGGTGGATGAATGGATGGATGGATAAATGGATAGAAAGAAGTTTGGATAGATGGATGGGTAGATGGATGGATGGAGGATGAATGGGTGGGTGGGTGGATGGACGGCTAAATGGATGGATGGCTTTTGAGTGGGTGGATGGATGTGTGGACAAATGAATGGAGGGGTGATGGATGCACATAGGAACCAGAATGAGGGATTTATGAAATAACGTGTGAGGGGCTCAGTACACAGGAGGCATCCGCTGAACAGTTGTTGGGATACACCCTGTGTTAACACTTCGTTCTCTTGCTCTTCAGGGAATGATCACATTAATCTTGGCCACTGACATGGCAAGGCATGCAGAAATCATGGATTCTTTCAAAGAGAAAATGGAGAATTTTGACTACAGCAATGAGGAGCACACGACCCTGGTGAGTGGGCTTGTTCTGCCTGGGTGGGCAGCCAGGCAGTGGGCTGGTCGTCCATCCAGCTCACACTGGGAGCCAAGAAACCGAAATCCTTAGTCTTGCCTTGGAATAAAGTGTCTATATATCTGGTTTTTGAGGCCATGGCTCTTACTAGGAAAGCCCAGGGCAGGGCCTCCCTCCTGATGGAACCTCCTTCATGGTCAGAGGGGCACTCTCCCATTCCTCCATCTCTTTTGGATTTGAGGGAGATACGTGGGTGAAGGCCACTCATCTTGCTCTGTTTTCCAGAGAATGAAACCAGCTCTCCCATAAAGGCAAAGCCCCAGCATGGTACCCTGAAAGCCCACCTCTGTGGGGGCAACTCCGACCCAGCTCCTGCTCCCCAAGCCAGCATCCCCCACCAGGCATCACCCATCCATCCCACACCATAGCCCATCACCCCTCTAAAACCAAGACAAGGTGGCCAGAGAAGGGGCAGGGGGCCTCACCCCTGAGAAGGTACACCTAGGTTGCCCAGTGTCTGCCTTTTAGAAAGGGCAGGCCCCGGTCATTTGTGCCTGGGGCAGGCCCCGGTCATTTGTGCCTGGTGCAGGCGGGACTGAGGGACGCCAGCCCTCCACAGCCTGTCCTATAGCGACTGTTGGCCTAGTTCAGGTGGAAATTGCTGCACCCCAGGGCCTGCCCTGTCTCCTCCTGAAGCACCCATGGTGTGCTGAACCCTGGCCAAGCTTGGAGGGAGCTCCCGTCCCCTGGGAAGATGAGCAAGGCACCCACCTGGGGACCAGCAGAAAATAGGTGGTGGCCAGGCATGGGGAAGTGATTTGGGGGGCATCGCCTGGGCTGGGGTGGCCAGAAAGGCTGGAAGGAGGGGACCCACACAGGACCTTGAGGTTCATTCTCCATTGGAGGAGGGAGCCTGTCCTCCTGGAAGTCAGCCAAGCTCATTTGCCTGTTCCAGCTTCATGATCCTCGGTCTCTTCCTGCCGGTAATGGCAAGCCCAGAGCCAAGCAGCAGCAGCAGGCCAGGTTCTACCTTCTGTTACCTAAATTCCAGAACCTCTTCTTTCAGCTGAAGATGATTTTGATAAAATGCTGTGATATCTCTAACGAGGTCCGGCCAATGGAAGTTGCAGAGCCTTGGGTGGACTGCTTATTAGAGGAATACTTTATGCAGGTAAGAGTCTTGCAGAGCAGTCCAGCCTCCAGCCACTCTTAGCAGCCCACTTAGTAAGGGCTCACGTCCAACAGAGCACGCCAGAGTGGACCCGCGTAGTCACGGGCCGTCCACAGGTCAGCCTCCAGAAAGCCTTCACGGCACACGTACATCAGAAATGAAATCGGTTATAATTTGAGACCTGAAAGGTGGTGACAACCCAGAAAAGCTAATGTTGTGAAACTGCCACCTGTCGCTGCTCACTGAGCCACTCTTAGAGGGAGGCTTGTCGAGCAAGTCGCCGGAAAGTCAAGAAACAAGAACTGCAGAGGCAGGAGGGAGCCCCGGGAGGACCGAGACCAGCAGGTCGGCTTACACAGACAGCCACGGGAAAGTCAGGGACAGAGAAACCAGGCCAGCCCAAAACAAGCGCTACATATTAATACCACAGCTTGATCGACCCCGGGAGAACTCGGGAGGGTTTCTGCAGATGCTTCTGCAGCCCTGGAACACACCCAGCTCACCTCTGCTATCCCTAAGCTCGGTCCTCCCACCAGACCTGCTCGCCCGGCTCTGAAGATGCCGCCTTCTCCTTGTTCTTACTGACACACATTTGCGTGCGGCTGGGTTGGTCGCTGGTTAACTGGTGCCTCTTGTCTTTCTCTAAGAACGGTGACCCGGTTCCGGGCGTGTCTGTCTTAATGTCGCTGTCTACTGCATTCCCTGCAGAGCGACCGCGAGAAGTCAGAAGGCCTCCCCGTCGCCCCGTTCATGGACCGAGACAAAGTGACCAAGGCTACAGCCCAGATTGGGTTCATCAAGTTCGTCCTGATCCCAATGTTTGAAACAGTGACCAAGGTGAGCGACTGTCGCCACGTGCCACACATGCACGCACTCATACATGAGCGCACACACGCACACAGGCACACATAGATAGGCACGCAGGCACACACCTGCACACATGCAGGCACACACATGCACACACATGGTATGCACATACATGTATATACATGCACACAGGCACACATAGACATGCACACAGGCACACACAGGGTATGCACATGCATGTACACACAGGCACACATAGACACGCACACAGGCACACAGGCACACACACAGGCACATTAGACACGCACACAGGCACACTAGACATGCACACAGGCACACACGCACACAGGCACACATAGACACGCACACAGGCACACACCTGCACACATGCAGGCACACACATGCACACACAGGGTATGCACATACATGTATACACATGCACACAGGCACACATAGACATGCACACAGGCACACACAGGGTATGCACATGCATGTACACACAGGCACACATAGACACGCACACAGGCACACAGACATGCACACAGGCACACTAGACACGCACACAGGCACACATAGACACGCACACAGGCACACTAGACACGCACACAGGCACACAGACACGCACACAGGCACACTAGACACGCACACAGGCACACTAGACACGCACACAGGCACACATAGACACGCACACAGGCACACTAGACACGCACACAGGCACACATAGACACGCACACAGGCACACATAGACATGCACACAGGCACACAGACACGCACACAGGCACACATAGACACACACACAGGCGCGCACACAGGTGCACACACAGGCACACTAGACATGCACGCAGGCACACATAGACACACACAGGCACACATAGACACGCACACAGGCACACTAGACACGCACACAGGCACACAGACACACACACAGGCACACACAGCGTATGCACATATATGTACACATGCACATAGGGACACGTGCATGCACTCAGATACATGAGTGCACACATGCACACAGGCACACTAGACATGCACACAGGCACACTAGACATGCACACAGGCACACACAGGGTATGCACACACATGCACACAGGCACACATAGACACGCACACAGGCACACATAGACACGCACACAGGCACACACCTGCACACATGCAGGCACACACACATGCACACACAGGGTATGCACATACATGTACACACACGCACACAGGCACACATAGACATGCACACAGGCACACAGACACGCACACCGGCACACACAGGGTATGCACGTATATGTACACACATGCACATAGGGACACATGCATGTACATGCACATGCATACACATGGGCACACCGGCGTGCACACACAGGCACACAGGCACACACATACATAGGCACACCGATACGCACATGCACACACAGGTACACACATGTACACACAGGCACACACTTGCACACACAAAGGCACACACATGCACATATACACGTACACAGGCACACCTGCACATCCTGAGCGCCCTCTTCCCCAGCTGTCGTGGTGACCACTGTCCCTACCATCCACAGCCTGGCCTGTGACCCCAGCATCTCCCACTCTGTGCTGCCCTCCCTGCCTTTCCTCGCTGGGCCCTGGGGGGCCCTCACTGCCCTTGTCCATCACTGCTGGCCTTCAAGACCCTGGAGGCAGCACCGGCTGTTGACTGTCTTGTCCCCTGCTCTGCACCCCAGTTCAGCCGAGTCTGCACCTGTGGAGGAACCACTGTGAAGCCCCTGTCCAGGTCCCGGTCTCCGCCATACCCAGCCCCCAAGGCCATGCTCGCTGCACACAGCTTGTTCCTGCCCAGCTCCCCACAGGGCCCCTGCCAAGGCCCCACCTCAAGGCACCCCCAGCGTGTCCAAAACAGGCCCGTCTCGTTTCCCCGCACTGAGCCATGGCTGGATCTGGGCTCCCAGCCTCGCACCCTCCCCTTCCCAGGCTCCGGTGTGCTGTGGATCCTTCTGCTCCAGGGCATCTGTTCCCACTCCCACCCTCTTCCCGCTCCCACACTCTTCCCGCTCCCACCCTCTTCCCGCTCCCACCCTCTTCCTGCTCCCAGGACCCCCAGCCAGGAGACCTGTCAGCTCCTTTCCCCTGCCCTGTGTCTTTGTAAGAACCTCCCAACCTGTCCCCCACCCTCATCTCACGGGGGCAGGGGACACAAGAGGCAGGGAGGGGACTTTCTGTAGAACTTCATGGAGGGTGACAAGGGCCAGAGACAGAGCCACAGCAAGGCGGGAACAGCCAGGCCAGCACGAGGGTTTCCAGGAGCCGGGACTGGCCCAGAGGCTTCCGTGGAGTGCACCTGACACCTGCTTTTCTCTGACATTTCCCATGGTCTTAAGAACGAGGGACTGTGAATGACTCCCTTTGCCTCCCACAGCTCTTCCCCGTGGTTGAGGAAATCATGCTGCAGCCGCTTTGGGAATCCCGAGATCGCTACGAGGAACTGAAGCGGATAGATGACGCCATGAAAGAGGTAAAACGCATGTCGAGAAGGGCCCTCCTGGGGCAAGCAGGACACCGCTGAAGGTGGCCCCATGGACAGGAGCACGTGTCCCTTCCATGAAAAAGCCTGGCTCAGTAAGATTAGGGAATGTGATCAGAAAACCAAAACTGTATTCACCGAGGACGCGTCAGGGCTCGGCACCTTCCAGGGAGTTGACTGGCCATGCCCTTCATGAGAATCACAACCATTACCCTCCCCTGTGGGCACCCAGGTGTCCTTGGGTGTATCGGCCACTGTTAGGGCACCTTGGCCCCCTCTGAGCACAGTGCCTGGCCCGTCCTGGCCCCAGGACTGACTTTTTCAGAGGAGGCCATGGGGTAGAAAGGGACCCTCCCCTGGCACAGGGACAAAGTGACCACCCACCTGCCAGCTCCTGGGCCCAGAACATACATTCACCAGCACCTCTCAGGGGCCAGGGAGCCTGGGGCTGGCTTTAGGTTGCTGTTGGATTGATAGTGTTTTGGAGGAAGGGGTCAAGGTCACAGGCTCAGGGCCCGTGCAGTCCTTCCACGGATTGCCCCTGCCTTCTGCTGTCCAGCTGCCCATGATGTGGCCGCTTCCCCGCCCACCCTCCTGCCTCCCCGCTCCAGTGCCCCAGGCAGCTAGAACAGTGCCACTTCTCCTGGAGGGTTTGACCTCCTGGCCTTGGCCAGTGTTGCCTCTGCCACCCCCACTCCCCTCAATGCCCTCTGTGCCATTGAAGCACTCTCCACAGCCCGTCAGTCAGGGCTCCCCTAGTTTCTGTGTCCACCACCCCATCTTTTCTGCCTGGGCGCTCCTGAAGCCCATGTGGCCCACAACGCCCTGTTGAGCGCTGAGCCATTTCAGGCCTAGCCTTGTGCTGGACTCCTCTCCCTCCACTGAGGGCCCCGAGCTCCCCATGTCCACACCCTCCTGGAGCACCAGGCCAGGCATGTGGGAGATGCTCAGCAATTGCTTAGGAAAACCCAGACCAGCTGCCCCGACTTCTCTAGCTAGAGTCTCCTACTGGAAATCCACAGAAAGCTCTCTAAACCTCTGGAAGGCTGAGAGCAGTTATGCAGAGGGGCAGATGTAGCAAGAAGGCGCGCCCCACTCCAGACTCCCGCAGGAGAGCTGAAGCGGCTCCTGCCTCTCTCGTAGGCCCTTCGAGAGCCGTAGCTATGAGGCCTTGAGTCTCCAGTCCTGAGCCCTGATGTGCAGTCGGGGACACTAGTCCCTGCGGCTCTGGTGGCTGCAGCCGGGTGAGCTCCCCGTCCAGGCCCCAGATGAGGCACCAGAAGCAGCGGGACAGGGCTCACAGAGCCGCCTCTGAAGAGCCAGTGTCGGGAGCGCCTGGACACACGGGCTGGAGACCGCAGGCCTTCCCACGGCGGCACCTCCAGGCAACAGGAGCTGCTGGACGAGCGGCAGACACTCCCCTGCTGTCTCCTGCCCCTGACCTGGCCTTCTCCGCACTGTGTTCCAGTTACAGAAGACTGACAGCTGGACGTGTGGGGCCGCCGAGAAGTCCAGAGAGAGAAGCAGAGACGTGAAAGGCAGCGAAGGTAACGCTCGCCCTGCTGACGCGGCGTCTCAGCGCACACGATCGCTCCCGTGCAGGACGGAGGGAAAGAGGAAGGGGAGAAAAGCCAAATTTTGGAATATCTTTAAATGAATGGAACTTTTATTCCTTGCATGCAGTCATTAGAATTAGGCTCTGAAGGCCGGTGGTTCATGCCTGTAAGCCCAGCACTTTGGGAGACCAAGGTAGGCAGATCACTTGAGGTCAGGAGTTCAAGACCCAGCATGGCCAGCATGGTGAAACCCCGTCTCTACTAAAAATACAACAGTTAACCAGCTGTGGGGGTGCACACCTGTAGTTGCAGCTCTGGAGGCTGAGGCAGGAGAATCGCTTGAACCTGGGAGAGGGAGGTTGCAGTGAGCAAGATTGTGCCATTGCGCTCCAGCCTGGGCAACAGCGAGACTCCATCTCAAAAAAAAAGAGGCGGAACATGCTTTAGTTAACAGAAAAACATCAATAATTAGAATATGCGTCACTTATAAGAGTAAATACTTTTTAAAAGTGCAGTTGAAGTACTGAAAACTTTTCAAAAATCGAGTATTTGCAGTTTCCTCTGCCCTTGTTGACCCTGGTCATTCAGCTCCCAGGGAATCAGAGCAGACCTCTGCTCACCTCGTACAAAGGCCACACTGTGCATGTCTAACAGATGATACTCAGTTCAGCAAGCATCACGGCCCAGGGCGGGACACGGCGGACACGGCTTATGAGAGGAGCAGCCACAGGCTTTGGCGTCCGGCACAGCTGGGTTTGAGTTCAGGCTTGCCAGTGACAAGCCGAGAGATGAGCACAGGTGTCTCGGCCTCGGAACCCCAGAGTCCCCATCTCTAACCCGAGGCGGCACTCCCACTGCTACTGCTTTTCCAGTGACTCGGCGGTCAGAGCGCTGGTCCTGGGAAGTGCTCAGTGAATGTTGGCATTTAATTTCTAAGTCAGTTCATATTTTTTAGTGGCTTAAAAGAGGGATCCATATTTTATTTTACCTGAATGTGTTCAGTAATGTCTGATGGCCTCGTTCTTTTACAATGCTCTGTGTGTCAGCTGGGTGCGGTGGCTCAGCCTGTAATCCCAGCACTTTGGGAGGCTGAGGCAGGCAGATCACCTGAGGTCAGGAGTTCAAAATCGGCCTGGCTAACATGGTGAAACCCCATCACTACTAAAAACAGAAAAATTACCTGGGTGTGGTGGTGTGCGCCTATAATCCCAGCTACTCGGGAGCCAGAGGCAGGAGAATTGCTTGCAAAACCCAGGAAGCAGAGGTTGCAGTGAGCCAAGGTCGTGCCACTGCACTCTGGGCAACAGAGCAAGACTTCACCTCAAAAAAAAAATAATGGTCCGTGTGTAATCCTGTGACGTTCGTGAGACTGCCGGCGCTGTCGTTATTGTTGTTTCATTTTTTCTTTTGAAATGCCGTCTCGCTGTGTCACCCAGGGTGGAGTGCAGTGGTGCAGTCTCTGCTGCAACCTCCGCCTGCCAGCTTCAGGCAATTCTCCTGCCTCGACCTCCTGAGCAGCTGGGATTACAGGCACGCGCCACCACGCCCAGCTAATTTTCGTATTTTTAGTAGAGACGGGGTGTCACCATTTTGGTCAGGCTGGTCTTGAACTCCAGACCTTGTGATCCGCCCACCTCGGCCTCCCAAAGTGCCGGGATTACAGGCGTGAGCCACTGCACCCCAATCCTAACAAAATTTAAATCAGTCACCATTTTCCTTCTTCCAGGAGACTGTACCTGAGGAAAACAGGGACCGTGGCCATGGTTCTGGACACGCTGGCGGAGCCACGCAGGATCCTTGCACAGGGAGGAGCTGCCCAGGGCACCTGGCACCACACGACCACGTTTTCTAAGAACGGTTTTGTTCACTGACACAAAACAAAGGAATTCATGATGCTGTACAGAATTTTATTTTTAAACTGTCTTTTAAATAATATATTCTTCTATGGAAAGGGCTACTGGATTCTTCCTTGGTCGCGTTGTGTACGCAGGCTGCTTCCGGTAAGTTCTCTCGTGGAGACAAAGGACACTGCTTCTTCCCAGGTGTATCTTTGAGCAGTTGACCAGTGTGACACGGTGCGTACGTCCCTGTAAATTCAGCATTAAACGTCAGAACGGTGCCCTGAGCACAAGGACGTGCCTGGGTCCTGTGTTTCTGAGCAGAGGGGACGTCAGTGCTGCGTGCAGGGCATCTGGGGACTGAGGCAGGTTGGCCAACTGTAGGTCATGTGTGTGGGAGCAAATGCGCACGTGACCACGGGGCGACACTCACTGGGCGCGCATGCCCAGGAAGGTTGGCGACTTCACATGTAAATCTTCAGATAAGGAGAAGAGACACAGGTGTTCAGCGCGTCTGAGGGCCTCTGTCTTGGGAGGAGAGATGGCCTTCCCTTCCCGCCGTTGTTTTTGTTTTTGTTTTTGAGACAGAGTTTCCCTCTTCTTGCCCAGGCTGGAGGGCAATGGCAGGATCTTGGCTCACCACAGCCTCCACCTCCTGGGTTCAAGCGATTCTCCTGCCTCAGCCTCCCAAGTAGCTGGGATTACAGGCACGCACCACCATGCCCAGCTAATTTTGTATTTCTAGTAGAGATGGGATTTCACCATGATGGTCAGGCTGGCCTCCAACTCCCGACCTCAGGTGATCCTCCTGCCTGGACCTCCTAAAGTGCTGGGATTACAGGCGTGAGCCACTGCACCCAGCCCCTTCCTGCCTCTGTTTCGGTAATAAGCACAGGGGACATTCTGGGTGGCACTGTGTCTACACAGGGGACCCAGTCCCCAGCTTGTCCATAGTCCAGTTCTTGCTGCTGCTGGGACAGTTACTCACCTGAGCTCTCACTGCGACTGCTGGCGTGCGGTGGACTCTGGAGACTGGATCTTATAAAAAGCAAGGAAAAGCTGCTGGCTGTGTGTGTGCCTGGGCTGCGGGCTCGTCTCCACTGCGCTCTAGTGCAGAAACACCCCTCGAGGAGCTGCACCCTGCAGAGCTCATCCGTAAAGGTCATTTGCATGGCCTGAGCTTTGTAAACTCTTTATTTCTGGGTTGGGGCCACTCTCCTCGGAGCATTTGTTCCCTCTTGTTGAATTCCAGAATATTACTTCCCACCATCAAATAATTCATTTTTTTACCTGTAAAAATAGCCATCTTGGGCCAGTTGCAGTGGCTCACGCCTGTAATTCCAGCACTTTGGGAGGCCGAGGCAGGCGGATCACAAGGTCAGGAGATCAAGACTGACCTGTGCAACGTGCTGAAACCCCATCTCTACTAAAACTACAAAACATTAGCCAGGGATGTGCGACTGTGGTCCCAGCTACTCGGAGGCTGAGGCAGGTGAATCACTTGAACCTGGGAGGTGGAGGCTGCAGTGAGCCGAGATTGTGCCTCTGCACTCCAGCCTGGCAACAGAGCAAGACTCCATCTCAAAAAAAAAAATCCATCTCATCTTGAATACAGCTCAATGCAGATAGGGACCTTGATTTCTATACCCCTTTTGGCTTCTGCTTTTTAATTTGAATCCTAAAGCCAGAAGATATGGCAACATTGGCAAAAATTGAAGTCAAACGTAGGCATCAGGTCCGACGCCCTCCACCTCCATGCCAGCCTCTCTGAAGGGACTATTACCTGTACCTTAATTGGAATGCCCACCTCACCAAATTCTGCCCCTCGTCAAACTCCGTACGACGCTTCCTTGAATTTTACTATCATGAGCAAACATGCAGCCACACGCACACACACGTGGACACACACACACCAGCCCTCCATCACGCTGCCTCTGGTTCTAACCATACTGCGTCCTGGAACAGTTAAATCAACAAATGACTGAGGTCCGTTAGGGGAGGCATCTAGACAGCATCTACGGCGAGTCCTGGTTTGCGGCAGCCAGCCTGGTCTCCATGCGTGGGGCCCCCTAGAAAGCCCACCAACCCCCTCTCCTGTTGCAGAGTCGCCCCCAAAGCCCTACAGTTGGAGGCCGTGTCCACCCTCATCAGCCAGCACACCCAGAGCCTGCCCGTACTGGGAGGCGGCCACACGTGTGGACTGATTCACAGGCTACGTGTGGCCGTGGAGGCTCAGGGCAAGACAGATGTGCCCATGGCCCCAGAGAGCTCTGGGTCCCACAGCGGAGGCAGGTGTAGGGAATGCAGCACCCAGGCCTGGGGACGGGCCCGGCATAGGGAGTGAGCGTGCAGACAGAGGGGGCCACCCCCCGGCAAGCACAACCCACTGAACAAGATGCCCCCCCGGGATGGGCAGCACCGTCTCCACTGAGGACGGTGTGTTTCCAAGTGAACTCTCTGCCCGACAGTCAGCATGAAGGGTAAAGGTGTTTACAGCTGGGCCACATCAGGAGACTCGGGAGACAGCAGCAGCAATGCCTGGGGCTTTCCACGGCGAGCCCCCAGCAAACAGCAAGCATCTCGTCAAAAAGAACAGAAAGTTGGCAAAGCGAGGGCCGGCCTGTACAGTCTGGCACCGTCCTGGGACGCCGTCACCACCTGTGCTCCTCCGAGGGCACAGGAAGGCGCCGTGTTCCGTTTTTTTCTCCCCAAGACCGTTATTAGCAATTCAAGTAGCATTGCATGTGTCAGAGACTGGATCTGAGAAATCCCAACAGATCTGCCTGGTCAATGTCACTCTCACAGTTGGGAGCTGGCTACGTGCTGTGTTGGGAGTGCAGCCCCGGCCCTCCCAGCAAAAGGCAGCACAGACCCTTGTGATTTCAGTTCTGACCTTGCGGGTCAGAAGGAAGGAGGAATGAGGAATGTCTGCTGCTGGCATCCTGGACGGGTGTCTGCAGCCGAATGCCCCCGCCCGGCCCCTCCCGTGTCACCTGTGACATCTCGGACTTTGCCTGCCTCCCACAGCTTCCTTCACTCATGACGTCCGAGGCCGGTCCGAGCGTCTTAGCCACGTCACGTGGGAAACCAGTGAAGCAGAACTGACCGCCGTCAGGTCTCGGAGAACCCTGGGCATCTGAAACACCTGGGCCCAGGAAAATGCCCATCAGTGGACACCGTCGGCTCCCAGGTGGCCTCTGGAACAGGGAAGCAGTCACCCCTGGTCCATCCCACGGGAGGCCATACCTCACTCCACTCCAGAGATGGCAACCAGGGCTGGATACCCCCCAGCCAGGAAACGCTGGGCAGTACCTGGGCAAGGTTGTGCTCTGCCCGCAGCTCCTCCACTGTGTCCACGAGGAGAGGGTTTAAATATCTAGTCCACAGGTAATCTGTCTAAAGGGCAGATACCATCGTCACTCTGCATTTGGGAGGGACTGTTCTCTGCTGGTAGCCAAGAGGGGCCCAGCAAGGTGCTGGGGTTCCAGTCCCCCTGAGTCCTCAGGCAGGTCTTCCCAGCCCCATCCTGGGACTCCCCACGCTGCCACAGAGAATACGAGAGTCAGGGGTGCCCAGATTCCTGGGAGCTGCGGCCAGTGCCCCGGCAGAACACGGCACCGGCCCATGTTGCTGCCTCAGGCAGGAACCAGAGCCTGTGGGGGTGACTTGCTTTGTTATGGGCTGAATTCTCTCCCCAAAATTTACGTCCAAGCCCTAACACCCAGTGCCTCCCAGTACGGTATTGGGGGACAGTGCCTTTAAAGAGATAAGGTCACACAAGCTCACGGGGGTGGGCCTGACCCACTCTGACCGTGTCTTACAGGAAGAGGAGGTCAGGGCACAGACGCACACGGGACGCAGGAGAGGCCAGCTCCCAACACGCAGAGGAGAGGGGGCTCAGAGGAAGCCCCCACCCCCGCCAACCTTCTCTCAGACTTCCAGAGATAAGTGTCTGTTTAAGCCCCTCACGAACCGTCCCCCACCCCCACTGCCTGTGTCCCTCACTAGGGCCACCCGAGCGGACTCACATCCATCACACATCACACAACACATATCACACGTCACACAACACATGCATCACACAACATGTCACACATCACATGTCACACAACACATCACATGTCACAACACGGTCACACACGTCACACGTCACACAACACATGCGTATCACATGTCACATCACATGTCACACAACACCACACGTCACAACACAGTCACACACACATCACAGGCCACACATCACGTCACATCACATGTCACACAACACACATCACACATCCCTCCAGACTGCCTCCCTGGTCAGCAACATGGGCCTGGCTCACGGCGGGCACTGGAGACAGTTGAGCTTGGGTTAACCGCGCCGGCACAGCACCTACCTCTTTCTCTTCTTTCTCCCTCTCCTCTCTGTGTGCACACCGGGACACACTTGCCCTGGGGACCAGCCCAGTCCTGAGGAGGCCCCTTAAAAAGCCTCTCTGGCTGGGTGCAGTGGCTCACACCTGTCATCTCAGCGTTTTGGGAGGCCGAGGCGGGCTGATCACAGGGTCAGGAGTTTGAGACCAGCCTGGCCAACATGGTGAAACCCCATCTCTACTAAAAATACCAAAAATCTCTGGGCGTGGTGGTGGTGCTGCCTGTAATCCCAGCTACTCGGGAGGCTGAGGTGGGAGACCTGCCTGAGCCTGGGAGGTGGAGGTTGCAGTGAGCCGAGATCATGCCACAGCACTCCAGCCTGGGCAATAGAGCCAGACTCCACCTCAAAAAAAAAGCCTCCCTTAGGCAAAGCCATCCATGAGAACCGGGAGAGGCGACCTGAGGGAATGTCCAGGCCTTACCTCCCCTCAGGTGAGGCCAGGCCTGCGGTTCACACCTTTAGGAAGCACAGACAGTGAGGACGCAGCAAGGGGAGGGGGCCCCAAAAGGAGAGGCTGCTCCCTCCCTAAACCTCTGCCATGGAGCCCGTGCCAGCTACCTGCAGGGCCTGTCTGCCAAAGGACCCGCAGACCCAGCCGCCACCACGGCCAGGCTGGGGTTGGGCCAGTTCACACACCACCTTGACCTGGCACAAACACGGTGTTTCTAGGAGGGTGCTCTGGAGGATGAGATGAGCCTC